CAAGTAAATTTAAAGATTTGTTAGCGTGGCTGTCTCCTTTCTTACAAGATTACTGATAGTTGACCAGCCAAGATTCTGAATTATCGGATCAGCAGACGCATCGTATGGGCTGCTAGTTACAATTCTGGCAGCTCTATTTTAGATTTTTTGCAAGACGTCAAGCTTTGATTCATTACAGTAGCCCGGTTAGCTGGGAACAACAGTAGCTCAAATGGGGCTCAACAATTCCTCTATACATTTTGTTGAGGATGTCAGATGGAAGATATTTCTTAGAATACTTAATAAGTCCAAGGGCTCGATTAGCCTTGGTCTTGATAGTATCGATATGCTTGTCCAAGTTGAGCTTACTGTCTATCTGAACAGCTAAGTATCTTGTGTTGGTAATCATTTCAATGTCCTGATCACCTATTGAAAAAGAAAAAGATGGTGGAGCATCAGGCTGGCTTTCGATCTAACGGATGTAAAAACCAGCAGTGGCGTGCTGGGGAAGAGATCGCAGGGGGGGGGGCAAAGGGTCAAAACGGCGCCCCACATATCTTCCAATTTTCCTTCAAAGTGTTGGAAATGTGCAGAAAAGTACAAGAGTTCGGAAGCACCCCGATCTATATCTATCTATTTATCTATCTTTGGGGGGTACTGTAAGATCTTCAAATGAGGGGAGAGGGGGTAGGTAATTACTGACAGGACGTGATAGAGAATTTTCAAATAGAGTATGCTATTTTTTGTAAAACTTAACGTTAATTTTTAGTATCGTTGTAGCGGCTGTATCATCAAACTGTACAACAATGATAATCAGGAACGTTACTATTGAGAGAGGTTTGGGGTAGGGAGGGGGCGGAAAGATCTTTCAGGAGTTTAGTGAAGGCGGCCACCATCGTTGGCGGCAAAAACTTGCAAAGAAGACGTGCTAGGGATGGTCAGAAAATGCATCCAAATATTTACAATATCGCTATAGACTCATGGAAAATCCTTGAGAATACTTATAAGCTTTCTTCCAAATAAAGCCCCAAGGCCGTTGCGAGGCAGGCCTTCTTTGGGTTTACTACAAATTTGCCGGATTTAAAACCATCCTCCGCATTACATTGTGTCGATTCACAGCATCTATTTACATATTATCATCAGACCTTCCAACGCTTTAGATCCATATATCGGAACAAGCCCAGATATAGCTACACTGTCCGAGGCGGCACCACGGTTGCCGCCTCGGGGGAAAAACTTTGAATTTTTGTGCTTCCAGTTTGCTGGAAAATGCACTTTTTGAAGCACTTTTTCAATAACGCAAGCTTTCTCTTCAATAAATATCCACAGGCTGAAAGCTATTAATCGATTGAACACATGGTTTTAATCGATTTTCCAGTGTCGTTGTTAAATCTTTTAGCTTTTGCAAAACAATTTTCTTCAGATTGGGACACAATCTCTCAGCTTTTTCTTCCTACCATTTCGCTTTATGTAAGTGAATCGAAACTCTTTGCACCCTCTCAATATTTTTATGAAATGGCGCCTTATCTGAACTTCTACCTCCAAGCGAAAATTTTTTTGACAGGCTCCTTAAAACACTCCCCACACCCTACCTCGGTACGCCCATGGTATCTACTTTGTGTAAAAATCATTTAGATTTAGGGTGGGATCTTGAGATGGTGTTTGACGATCGTTGCTCTGTACATCAAAGGGAAGTGGTATGTTGGAAGGTGATTCTTGTTCTCTTCGAAGCGATTTTTCGTGGATTTTTATACAGTGTCTGCCTTTAGTATTGTCGTATTCTTAATGTAAATTGCCATAGTTCGGTAGCCATTATAACGTGAAAATTCATTTTGGCGCCCCTGATATTTGATCGCCAGGCATCCTCTTTCTATTTCTCTATATCGATTTTAAACAGGAATTAGCTGTCTGAGGGTCTTAAGTTTAAAGTGCGATAAGCACTACGGATTCTTGTCACCCTAGGTCGGTTGCATTATAAGCCTTTTCTTATCAAAGTGAAACTCTGTAAGAAAATCTATACCAAACAAACTTTATGGATTTTTATAAAAAGCGTGTAGGCCATTTAAGTCGGTGACTCAGGGAAAAACAAAAAGAAACATATGTCGAAAAACATCCAATTTTGGGACTACTTTATCAAAGTTCAATCTACTAGACAAATGAAAAAGGCTTGTCATGTATTTGTTGGCTTCAGACTGTAAATCGGTTGTTAAACACATATCACAAAGTCGGAGCAGAGCGAGTACAAGAGTTCAATACTAGTAGCTTGTCAAAATCGTTCAAAATTTTTCAAAAATTTAAAATACTGAGAATTTAGTTACCTCGTCAAGGTTGAAGTCAAGTTTTATTTCGTCCAAATCCATGGTATAAAGATCTTCGAAATCCATTCTGTTAAAGCATAAAGGACCTTGTAACATCGTGTTTTTGTTTATTCACCTCTTCTTTTCCACCTGCTACGGCGATCTATCGCTACCCCCGTGCCAGTCTACGAATTTCCTGTTTGCACCTACAAAGGAGACTTCCTTGTAATGCATTGCATTGCTAGCTTCTGAGGCCTCGGAGCGGTGTCAGAGTTAATTTCACGGGGGCGTTCATTGTCAAATTGATTTGCCCTAAGTTTATATTTATTTGTTACTTGTTTTGGTCTTTTGTGACGTGCTCCAACACGTTCTCGGGCCCCTGAGCCCCCCCCCCTAGGGCTACACCCCTGCTCATAGGCACAGACTTATTTTTTCCAGGGGAGCATTCACGCACTGCAAAATTGGATTTTCACAATCACGTAAACAATAAATGTAATTTCAGCTATTGCTCCTCAGAGCCCTGTTTGAAGGACCACAACACTGGTTTCAAACTTTAAATACTAATTTGATATTTAACTATCATTGGTTTATTGCGCACCAAATTGGGGCAATTTTTTGAATTACCATTCAAAATTTTATTCACGAATTCACGGATAGTTAAAACCTTTTCACGACATGCGCAAGGAAAACTCATTTTAACATGTCAATGACATTTCTAGCTTTACTTTCTGTAAATTAAGGTTTTTTAACACTGTTCAGCGCTTTAGAATATATGTGTATAGATTTTAGAGCTCTATAAGTGCATTGTTATTATTCTTATTATTATTGTTATATTTCACGCTTCACGAAGGAATCTTAAGTCACGAAATCAAGCATAAAAATCGAGATTTTACGATTTCACGCACGAAAATATGGCCAATAACGCATCACGCAAAAATATGGGGGCCCCCTTAAGATGATTTTTATTCGTGAAACCAAGTATATGAAAAATTAGTCTACTCGATACCCAACTTCCTTATTTCCCAGGGGGCTGAGCCCCCACCCCCAATTTTTGTCAGGAGGGGCTCAAGCCCTGGAGCCCCCCTAAGTCTGCACCTATGCCTCTGTTTCTTTTCCATTGATGAACTAGGGGTATTTATGTGTTCAAAATAGTGTTTCTCTTCCCTATGTAATAAGCGTTTTGGTACCCTATACAAAAGTGGAACATTGTAAAATGCGACGTGTTTCAAATCATGTGATATCTTCGTAGCGCGATGTTTAGCACGTTTTGAGTCACAAACTGATCACAATGCTTTCCGAGTTTAAAATTTCACACTTGTCAATCAAGCAAACTGGAGTCGCCATTAATTTTGTACCCTTTTGCATGAACTTAACAAGGGAAATCATAGCACCGCTTCTTATTAGTACCCCTTGCTAAAAATAGTTCGATTGTTCTTTACATTCTGATGAACAATATGAATCAGAAAATTGTGTACCTGGACCGTTTTGCATGCTAAATTCCACCATCCATTTTGGTACCCTATTGTTTAAGGGCTTTGATATGTTTTTGCATAACCAAAATTGCCATGCGTTTGTGTACCTCAACCGTTTTGCATGCTAAATTCTACCATTCGTTTTGGTACCCTAATGTTTAAGGGCTTTGATATGTTCTTGCATAACCAAAATTTCCATGCGTTTGTGTACCTCAACCGTTTTGCATGCTAAATTCTACCATTCGTTTTGGTACCCTAATGTTTAAGTACTTGGGTACGTTCTTGCATAACCAAAATTTCCATGCGTTTGAGTACCCGGACCGAAATGCATAAGGTTACCAAAATGCATATGACAAATTATAGTGATGAAAAATAGTTTTCTTGTCGATGCTCTCCCTTACATCATTTATATTTTAGATTTTGTGCAACTTCCTTTTATAGCAACCTCTTCCCAGTACCGTAGAGAGGGGTAGCTGGGGTAAACCCCTGGGGCCAGGGTCTCGAGAAGAGCCCTGCACTACTACCGAAAGGTTTTGCCCCTGCACCCCTATTCCTGCACAAACACCCATATTGTTTACGCTGATGCACTAAAAACCCAACTTACTCTCGATGACGTGGGAATGGGAGTGTAACCTCACGACTTACTTTTAGCCCGAGCCCCAGACTGGAACCCAGGCTAATGACTTTCTGATGTCTATGGAATGTTTGTCTGAGGAAGCATTTTCGCCCTATACTTTACAATGTAACTTCTCGATTTAGATAATTTAACTACTTTCCGTGTTCACTTTCAAGAAGAGTTCCAATGGCTTGCTCCCGTGTTCTTTTTTATAAGATTCAATAAATTTTCAAGAAAATTTTTTTTAATCATGTTCAGATATTATCAAAAACATAGCCCTTCTTGACGAGACGATAAGGTTTAGTATTATACTTTAGGACCGTGACCATCTCAAACATGTGACAAAAAGGAGAAAAACGTCCTTCTAGGTAAAAACAAGAACCACTTATTCATCTGCCTGTCCAAATTTAGCTAACTTTTTTACAGTACACAAAGTCTTTGATTTTTTTTATCATTGGATGACCTGACCTGGTTGCTTATATGGTAGGCCTGACATATAATAGTGCATGCTACCAGAAGACCACCTTTGGGGTATTTGAATTTTAGCGCAAGATATACCACTCTGTCCCAGGAGTTTTATTGGAAAAGGATATCTTGTTTTGTTATATACCCAATCAAGTCAAGTAGTGGGTCACCAACCCCCTCCAACACCCAAATATTGACTGGTGTCATCATGCGGAGGAGCAAGTCCTGTGACCTGCGTTGATCAATCTCTCCCACTCAGTGGTCTCTCCCTTCGAAGCACTAAGCGAACACCTGCGATGAGACCATAGGAAAACGCAAAAATTGAAACAAAAATGGCTCTAGGGTACAGTCAAATGGTACATTATTCCATCGTTTATGGTGCTGCAATCTTCCTTGTTGCTGCTGCAGGTATGTTAAACATGAAAATCTTATAAAAGTTACTGGAAATAGAAAACAACTCGGGCCTAATATCAACATCGATTTAGGCCCTATAACAAGTGATGGAGCGACATCGCGAATCCGGAAAACGAAGCCATGGATTGGACTTGGTTTTTTGTTACCTTGAATCAGAAGGGTACTGTCAAACTTGCATGACCGACGGTCTAAGTTTCTAGTTCCTTTTGCCTAAAACACCTCTATCCTAAACTTATTACATTACAAGGCTGCTATTGTTTCTTCAACGATGCTTGGGTCAAACGATGTTATGCTGAACACGAAAGTAGTATAATTTTTGGAATTGTATGTTCTTGATTTTCTTTCACAGGTCTCTACTATGTGTTATCAGGACAGGGTGGAAGATATGATATTGGATGGTAAATAAGATATAATTTCACTTCGATTGATAAATAAATGTGCACTGTTGGATATATGTAGTTTGAGTTATTAGTTTTAAAAAACTTTTAGAAAATACCAAGAAATTATTTTGGCTGTAGCAATTGACAAGGCATTTTATTAATATGTTTAAAGATTCAAGAGCTTATCTTTGTTGGTTTTCTTTGGAGAGAGGTCAAACCATTATGTTAACTTGTAAAACTAGTTTCCAGTGTAAGACTGCTTTTCCGTTAAATATTTAGACTGTTAAAATTTGTAAACATTAATGGACTTAGTCATGTACAGGCTCAGACAACACAGCTTTAAAACCATTTGTTAATCATGTTGGACTTCTATAAAGAAATTTGCACAAGAGCAATAAACTTTTGGTGAGTTTTTGATCGCCCTTCCAACAATATTTGTTGAAAGAGGTCCTCCGGGGCTAGATTGGGTATTTTGGTATCATCTGCCCATGATTGCCTAACTTTTATTTTTCTAAATGCGTGCCTTCCTTTCCATAAATCATCTTCTTGTCTCTTTTGGGCAAAGGCCCTACTGGGTTCTAACTGGGCAGAGCCAAACTGAATTTGAATGATTGTAGACATTATAATAGAATCTTTATTTGAGATTTAAAAAGATTAAATTACATTTGTTATTCACAGATACTGTATGAGTTTTTTGATTATTTCTTTTCAATAAACAATAATCTTAAGTGTTATTATCGCAAATTTATTTCTAGGCCCATAATGAATTTTTTTATTCCATCATCTATAATTGCTCCAGAAGATGATCCTACTTTCAAGAAGGGAATGAATTTATTCCAGTCTTGTGTTTTCTCAGTATGTTAATCACCATGTTTTTACCAATTCCCAATCTGCAAAATGTTACTCTTCTCAATTTGATCAACATGGATCACAATTTTTGGAGAATAGTCTCTGTAAGCATCTTGAAATAGCTCTCAAATTAAACATAGAAAGCAATGTAAATACCAGCCTTGGTAAACTGAACTTCAAGTTGCTTTACTGAAAACCAACAATCATTCCAGTGAGCCAAGCCACTAAACCAAACATGTGAAGAAAGGTGACTAACAATTTTGATAGCCTTTCTGGATATCTCACGTTGGGAAATTCAGCTCTTTCATCTCATTCAGCTATGAGCCTTCATCAGAGCTATTTATTGTAGAAAGGCCTTTTAAGGAAACAATACACTTTTATAATTGTTTTCAATTGCGCATCTACTTTTTGATTTTTTTTTCTTTATCTAATGTGAAAGCAATGGAGAAGCAAACATGTTTAAACACTTTTTGTAAACATTTTTGTTCACATCTGTTTGATTTTCACAAAATTTACAAAATATACTTATTAACTGAAATTATAATTTGACAACACTAACAATAGAAGCATCAAAGTTGAGCCTTCTAAACACTATACACTCAGGTTGTTTTAAGCATACAATCCTAAATTTATAGCAATGTTTCAGTGTGTTTCTTGTTATATCAGGTTCCTTGGTGAAACATCCCCATATATGTGGGCTACTGTAGGAGTTGGTCTTTCCATATCACTTTCAGTTGTTGGTGCCGCTTGGTAAGATTAAAATTATTGCTTAGTTTTTTGTTTTGCATACTTCATGTTTCCCGATGCAAGTAATTCACTGTCTTGTGTAACCTTAGAGGAATAATGTCAGGTGATTTTATATGTGGTGTCCACCCACACTAATCTTTCCTCTCACTCGTTGAAGGTATAAAAGTAGCATAAAATTATCATTGGAAATAGCATTTTAATTTGCTTTGTTTGTAGAGCATAGTTTCTCAATTGCTACTCTGACCTCCATTTAAAATTTGATTATCAAGCAATTTATCACATTAAATTCTGTTCTGTTCTGTTTCACTGTATTTCATATAATGTATATTTAAACATTTGAACATTAAATTATTTTAGGGGAATCTTTACAACTGGAGTTAGTATTCTTGGTGGTGGAGTCAAGGCACCAAGAATCAGAACTAAGAACCTTATAAGGTATGTTTATATTGTCAAGACTGTGTTTATGCCCCCACTGTTAGAAAGCTCTCACCAGCTTTAATCAGCAGCTGAGAGTTGGGAATTTGCCTAAGGAATTAAATACTAGATAGAGTTAAGAGGTTCTGCATCTAAATATGGATTCTCTCTTTGACAATCTACAAGAAGTGTGAATTTGTGTAAAAAATTAGCAAAAATTAAATTGGAGGGGGGGGGGAATTTGGCTGTTTTTCAAAGTGGTCATTGACAACATTTAAGGAATCTTTTGATGCACTTGATTCAGGTTCATCCCACAATGATTTTATGGAATCCTTGTTACCTCTTGTATTTATAAATAAGTACAGTAGAATCCCGTTGTAATATACTTTGGATATAACATACTTAATACACTGGTCCCTTAAAGTATGTTATAACCGGATTATACTGTTTGGTCTTTTTTATATGTACAAATGTTCAGACATTTGTCACGTGACTTTGACTATGATATCATTTTTTAGAAATAACCAACAATTAGTTAGTAGCGTTTCTGCATAGAATTTTTGATTCCAAAAATGTTTCAACAGAAGAAAATTGATAAAATTTTATCATTACGCTGCGGAAATCTGGCGTGGGAATTCAAGACCCATAAAGTATATAATCTTATATTGTTGAACAGATTTCCTTGTTAGTATATCAAGAAATGCTCTATTTGTGCTGCTTGTGTCATTGTTCAGAAAAACAAGATTTTGAGTACGTCCAGCCCACCATCTTTGATTTGCCAAAATTATATTTACAAACTTAAAAAAAAGTTTGACCTTCTAACAGTTCCTTGATTAACAGAATCTGCTTTCATGAATCAATCTTAGAAATGATTTAAATGTCAAAAATGGATATTTTCTTGAATTTTTTGTGTACTCTTGTTATTATGTCTTGAATAATTATGACGTCATATCTATTTGGACATCTTTCTTTGAAATATGATACCTCATAACCTCTGCTTTATCTATAGTGATTTTTGTAAACATATATCAAGGGACAACGATTTTAGAGTAGGGGAGGGGGGCAAATGAGCCCCCCTTAGTTTTCTAGCTCAAAAAGCCCGGTCTAGATAGGGTTAAACTATTGCTTTCAGCAATGTTTATTGCTTGTGAACCTGGACTTGCTCTCCCTTCAGCCAAACAGCCTGTTATGGCGTTTACTTGATTGTGTTCTCCCTGCACTACAAACGGCTTCGATTTCGTGGACTGAGCAAATGAATGGTAATTTTCAGCAACAAAAGACGTTAAATTCTTCTTGACAGGCTGCGATTCTCTGCCCTACCAAATCTCACTTCAGTTGCTGTGGTGGATTCACTCCATCCACAGGCGTCAACACAACAACATTGTCCCGCATTGCCCCTTATGCTGATATTTTGCCCCAATATGCAATCATTTTTCCACTTCGTCCCAAGCAGATTTTCTACAATAATGCTTGAGTTTCGGGGTTCCCAGACATTGTTTCATCATTTCCTTTCAAGTGTGAATTTAAAATCAGATTTGGAAAATTGTAAAACGAATCTGAAAATGGCTTTGAAAAAAGCAAACATTTTATAACATATTGGCTAAAAGCTTTTTCGCCTGACACTCCTTAGAGCATAAAATATCAGAATACAGGTCCGAAAGAACACGATGAAAATTATATACCCAGTTGTGGATCGAATAGGCCAATCAGAAGAACGCAAGCACAAGACCGACATTGTCCAATCAATGCCACCTGCCTAAAGAAAAATACCATTGGAGTCCAAGAGAGAAAACGAACTCCTTCTTTCGATACAATGGCGGCTTTTTCGTTTGTATGTAGATCGATTCCAAAACTGCTAGATGGAAAGACGACTGGGCTCTGCCAATTATTTGAAACATGTGGTCATTATATAGTTTTGCGGGTTATCTAAAGGATGTTGTCCGATGGCAGAATCGCTTGTTTTAACGGTGTTTCTCAACCTACAAGATCAAGGAGGCTGTTCTCTTTGTGGGGCAGTTTTGTTTCTTATGTTGGAAGTAAGATCCTGTTTTATCCTATCCCCAAATCTTTGGGTTGTGCTTCCTACGTAGCCAGAATCACACTGGCACGTGAATTATTAAATAACATAACTTTTTTGGTTGGTAGTAACGCAATCCTTTTGAATGGATGGAAGGGCTCTCCTAGTCATTTTATCTACTCAAATCTTTATAGACTTAAATACTTTGCCTTTGTATTTGATGGCATCATATTTAGAGTCTCCTTTAAAGTATAAGAAATCTCACCAGTCCAGGAGTTTCTAGGATGAATTACCTGTTATAACTGCTTGAATAAATCCTTCAAGCAGAATGGTTTTTCGAAACTTTCTCAAAACTTTCATTTTTCTGCTTTCTCAATCATATTGCTTAGTTGGTCTTTGTTGCAAGCCACCAGAATCATGGCCCTGTCGATCCTCATCTCTTTCTTGTGTAGATCGTAGCAAGCTATAAATATTTCTATACCATTTATTGATTTTATTTTACTTTTGTTTTGTTTTTTGTTTTTTACCTCCTTACCCCACCTCCCCCAACTTGGAATTCGCCCTAACAAGAACACACAGGCAAACAGTTTTGTCGGCTTACCCGTGCATCTTGCCCCTTTCCTATTTGATTTAACAATGAAAACTACTAAATTTTCTATTTTAGTATAATTTTCTGTGAAGCTGTAGCCATTTATGGCATCATCATGTCCATTGTTCTAAGCAGCAATATTCAGGTATCTTTTATTTGTTCTTTTGTAACTTTGTAATGAATGATTTAAATACTACGAGAAATAGATGCATTGGTCTAGTCATGTGGCCATAGTAGCCATGTGATCCGAGAGCTGAAACTGCCCACTGTAGAAGTAGTCTCTGGTTATGTTACCTATCATCGAGACGCGCTCTGTAGTCCCAGTTGCCCTCTGTAGTCCCATGTGCCTTCTGTAGTCCCAGGTGCCCAGGTATTGAAGTCATTAGTATTGAAGTCACATCAAGAAGAAGGAATAGTGCACTGCTAAAAAATTTAGATGCTACAATCCCGGACAAAAATGTTGAGACAAACTGTAAATTTTACAATTTTCTACTTTACGTTGCCCCTGTAAATTCGTGTCCCCCTTTCCCCCGAAATCAATTTTGGATTTGTAGTTCTATCATTTCTCCTTCAAAAACATGCATTCAACATTGAATTGGGGGAGGGGAAAAGTTATTTTTCCAATGAAAGAGAAAGTATTAAGTTTCCTTGAAGAGTCTCAACTATTTTTGTCCGGGATTGTAGATAGAAACAAATACCAACACAAATGCGAATAAACTACTTGGTCGTAGCTAGTGAAATCCTATCTGTGATAGCTGATAGCTACTGTTGGAATGCTGTATTGATGACATGTCTGTTTTAATTTCTACCAGGAAACCAAGAAAGCTGTCGGTGCTGATATTATGCACCGAAATCATGTCGCAGGTAAGTTAGTATCTGCCAACCATCCATTTATCTATGAGCAGACAAGCTTCTTGAGCTGGGAGACAGTAGCGTAATGAGGGGGGCAATAGGGGACGGACGGCCCCCTCCCAATTGCAAAAAATATCTCTGAAAAGGGGCGTTTTCTGGCATTCTAAAGGGCGTGGACCCCCACTCTTCCCTCCCTCAACTCACCTTTGCCTCCCCTAACATACCACCCTGTCTACGCTACTGGTTGGAGTAGATTTTTATTTTGGGGTTGGATAAAATTAAAGGAATGAAGTTGGTAGAGGTTGTAATAAAGTGTATTGGCATATAACAAACAACTTCACTGTACTAGAAAGACTTTGAAAGACAGTAAGTATATGCGGAAGTGAACCAGAAACATTCCCTTGTCTATGCACTCATCATTATAGATGATTGTCACGTTCTGTGATGCTTTTCACATGGAAAGTGGCCATTGTTGACCTCATCATAAAGAACCTTTCGTTTATAGAACCTTGCATCTTGTTATCCTCTTGCCTAATCCATTATAATTTGTTTCTGTTGTAAATCCAATGTCATTTAATATCACTATATAATTGTCTTGACCCGCCTTTCCCATGAGTTCACGAAGCCAAATCTTTAAGCAAATACCCCTGTCACTTTTAAGATCATGTGAACGTATTTAATTTTCTCAAAATTAATCAGGAAACTTTTGCCTTTCCTGGTTTTGAAGCTTTCAAATGTTTGTTCTAAATTTTATTTTCGTTGCAGGTCATAAAATCTTTGGCGCTGGTCTGACAGTAGGGTTTTCAAATTTGTTTTGTGGCATTTGTGTCGGAATCGTTGGAAGGTAAATCTTCAATGCCTTGTTTAACATCAATCTTAAAGGAAATTCCAGTGTCAATATTGCTTTATCCTGATAATTGGCATTGGGATTTTTAATTTTTAGAAATATTAACAGGATTATCAACGAGCTTTTATTAATCTTATGTGAGATACACCCAGTGAAATTGAGAACAGACCGTGTATAAAGGGCAATGAAAGTGAAGGGTCCCTTAAGGAAACTGCATGAATCACGTGCTCAGACAGTTATAAAATAAACTTACAAGTTCCAGGAAACCGATTTCCTAGAACGGTTGTCTGTGGCTGTTGTCTGCGTAATGAGGTTTGATTGAGATGGGGGTCTGCATTTTTAACTTAGCAATTGAATAATGATATTCAAAGTTAGACGTAAGAAGGGACTAAACTAAACAAATGCAGCAGATAATGACAATCGATATTTTACTCTGCTTTCCAAATTAAGTTGAGGCAAACTTGAGATTGGGATGGGCTGGTGCACAACGTGATTAAGGGTTGTTAAAACCGAAAAGCCATTCACCTTGACAAATAGCGAAAGATATTTTTCACGAAAACAAAAGGATTTCCAGAGATTTTAAAATAAAACATTACTGCTTTCACGAAAGATGTACGAGATTTCCATGTTGTGGTTTACCCCTCGTTTAACACTTATAATTGCTTATCTTTTTCGATACGCATCTTTTGATCTTCTGCATAAACAAATCGACCTTCTGTAGTTCTTTAAATGAAAAGGAGATTGACTCTTGGTTAACTGATAAAATGTTCTTTAAAGAAATGTAACTTCCAGAAACGAAGCAAATTCAAGTTTGGTTTTGTAACGTCACGTCTGACTTGAAATTTGTCTTTCTAAATTATACCTTCCCATTTCCTTTCTCTAAATTTTACCTTCCTTTCGTGCTGATAAAAAAAATTTCATTATCAGTAGTGACATGTTTACTGCAAGAAATGTCTCATGTGGTGATGGTAGTGTCGCTTTGATGAAATTTTTGTTGTGATGATAGAAATTGTATAGCTAATCATCCTGTTTTTGGTCACTGGTGTTTTGAGCCAAATGATTTGATGATATCATATTTAGCAGTCGTTATGGTTAATGCCCCTATCGTCAATAATGGAAGCAGCTGTAAAACAGTCAAGGATCAAAGCTCCACAAATCAGTTCCACAAGTTTCAGTCCATGATTCACTTGTTCTCCATATCTTTATTAGTGATGTACTTCTTGTTAAAGAATCAGAATTTCGTAATTTTGCAGATGAAAGAAGATTCACACCTTTGAAAATGCGGCACTTGAAAAATGTTTGATAATTGGTTTGAAATTTTCGTCTTTAAGGTACTTGCACAAATTTAAGTAGTAGTGATTCTTTCCTTGCAGTGGTGCTGCTCTTGCTGATGCACAAAATGCCTCATTGTTTGTAAAGGTATGTATGAAAGCAAGTGATTGTGTATAAAAGCTGTAAATCATAGGCAATTTCTGCTAGAAATAGTTACAAGCGGACTACTGAAGCAGCAACTGAAGTCATTTTTTACCCTTACGAATTTTAGAAGGATTATGAAACGTTAAATACATAGATTAAAAATAAAATTTTCCTTTTTTAAATATCCTCAACTTTATCGACCAATTAACAGTTTCACGACCCTGGCGTGGACAGCTCCTCTTTATATTAAGAAGCAAAGTCCTTTATAAAGCTTAATGTTTGGATTTGAATCTACACTGTATTCAGAAGCCGAGGAGACGAACCTTTCTCGAAAAGAAACCCCAGCTGCAAGAAACGCCCTGGACACAATTAATCATGATAGGGAGGATACCTAAACCCCAGTGGCGGATCAACTCATGAATTCAATTGCTTCTGTTTTGGTTTGCTAGTCTGCCAATCTAGTCTTGACGATCTCTTCAAGCAATATTTTTGAAAAGTATTTATGTATTGTTGCCTATCCAGATATAACACTGTATCGGTTTGTGAATAAACTTTTTCAAGCTTTTCTTTCGTTTTATAGGTCCTGGTAATTGAGATATTTGGAAGTGCAATAGGGCTCTTCGGTGTCATTGTTGGAATCTTGCAGGTAACTTATCATCTTCAATTTGATCTCGATGAACCTACTCTCAATTGGGGCACATTATTCAGGGGCTTCTTATTTGAAATGACATGAATGTTTTTCGGGTTAAGAGTATAGTGAGCCCTTTTCGCGTGAAAACGTGCCGCCGGTTATGTCGTTCGCACGGCATGAAAAGCACTGAGTGAAAGTTAAAAAGCGTCGTTTACAGGGGTACTCATATGCTTTCGTGTGACTAATGTGGTTTCTTTGTGGTTTCTCCCGGCTACCATTAATCTTCAACTGTTCTTGGAAGGAGGTCACGTGATCAGCATCAGGTCCACTATAAGCAATGCAGACAGAGTGAAAGCTGCAACCCGGAATATATGTTTACCCTCTTCTTTTATCACGACTCAGAGATGTCAATTTTTAGCTTCTTAGTAGTCACTTGCTCGGGGACCCTCAATTTAGCCGGATCCAACATATGGGTAAACAAGGCAAGAAATGCAGAAATAATTTTACGTTGAGACTATTTACGTCTCGAAAATGTGACTCTGTTTTGCTTTGCGCTCGGGTTAAACCTTCGCAAATTCAAAAAGATAATATTAGTCATCAGATGATAATAGATAAAGCTTTTGTCACACGGATAATCTCGGGTGTGGCCGTTCACATATCCGTTTTATGTCTAGTGGTTTTCTCTGTGAACAGATGAGAAAGGTACATTGACTGTGAGGCTTTTGGGCTAAGCACTACTAAAAGGAAAGCAGGAAGATTTCCAAACTTGTTGCCATAAAGGAAAGCAGGAAGATTTCCAAACCTGTTGCCATTATGGATTAAGCAGGAGGATTTCCAATCCTGTGAAAAAATGCTTTGATAGAAAGAAAGAAATCCTCGTTTAAATGATTTTGAACTGTTTATTTACACATATGATGTGCAATTTCCTACCCCGAATTAAGATTTCGTTGCATGTTGTTCAATGAATACCCTTATGAATTATATTTTGTAATTGTTAACTAGAACACCAATCTGCTTCCACGTCCCCCTAGTTATTATGTACATAACTTTGAAATTGACAGTTTGTGAATGGACAGCCTTGGTCAACATAGGTAATTACCGAAAAAGTAGATTACCGAAACACAAAGATAAAACAGATCAGAAAGAAAATGAGGGGGAGTAATTAAGCCAATCGTGAATATTTTATGAGTCTAGAATGCCATTTTGTAGCAGCAGCGGCTCTATCCCATTTACTGACGATTTTCACAAGAAGAGTGCCGGGCCAGTAACAAAATGCTTACGTTTTAGTGCCTGTTTCTATTGACAAAGTCATTATCCCTCCAAATAAATGATCTAGAAATTGAAAGAGTCAAAACCTTTTAAACACCTTTCACTAAATATTCAACTTTGTCCCGTTTAGTACCAACACAATACTTGTACGTATTTTCTCTCGTACAGTAAACTCCGGTTATAGTCACACCAAATGTTGCTTGGAAACTTTTGACAATTAACGAAGCTAAATTGAATAGTGTAGCATGTTTGGGTCTAATTTTATGTGACTGTAACCAGTAGTGTGACCTTATGCGGAGGCTGACTATAAGTGGCTATTTCTATGGGTGACTTGGGTTGGACTGTAAGCGGAGTGACTATAACCAGAGACGACTATACTGCTTTCCAGGGGACTGGACTGATGACAAAATAGAGCTCACGTTTGTCCGCTTGTTACAAGCCATTTCCCAGCGTACGTAAACATTGTTTGCTGCTGCACACCAGCAAGCTTGAATCTGACGTACAACACGCATTTAACGTTTCAGTTTGTTTTGTATTTGTACGGGAAAATTTCAACTCACCTAGGTGGGATCATTCAAGATGAAGTCGGGATACTGTTAGAACAAGATATACATACAGCTTCACATTTAGATTCATGCTTAAACTTAAAAACATTTAGATATGAAAATTGAATGTCATCTCTTAGCTTATAAACTTAATTTCAGCCCGACACTAGCTTTTTTGGTAGCCAGGCCACGTCCACAACTTCGTATTGGTTATAAAAGACGTCACTATTCAACACAGCACCCGAGCTGTTTCGGTACTTGGGTCAACTCGCTCTGCCTCGTGTTTTAAGGAAACTACCGCCTCCCCGCTTTTGTATTAAAAATGTTCAGCCCTGCTCCAAATATAGGAGCTCTCAGCGGCTTGCAGAACCGAGCCACCTCGGATGCCGGGCTAGAAGTACCATATAAGTAGCATCTGGTTGTGATCTGGGCATAATCGTTACAAGGCGAATATAGTTGAGGCTTTGTTGGAGCTATCGTTAACTAATGTCAATTTGAAAAGCTAAGCCTTAAATTGCACACTATCAGTTAACTCAATTTCTTTTTATATCTTCACCCGAAAATATTTGAAATTGCTGATTGTTTTTTGTGAATTACAGACATAGACAGAAAATATTTCTTTTTTAGGTTGCTGGTGTAAAGATGGGAGACACAAAGTGAATCTACCAAAATGAAATCAACTTCTGTATTTTTTCTCTTATTATTGATTTTTCCTTTTTTATTTGAATTGAAAGTCTTAGCTAAATGTGACGTTTTTCAAATGTTGTAGTTTCTTCTAACAACCATGGAAAACAATGAAATATTAAGAAAGTATTTGGTGATAATGTGAAATTTGTCAATCTTTTGTTCCAGGATTACCTGTTTCATTTTGGGTTCTGTTAAAATGTTTTTTCTTCTATGAAAACAAATCGAGTAGGCAGGGGTAATAGCTAAAAGGCAGCGTAAAGCTGAATTAACACTGGACGCGTCACGGCGCGGCGCGTCATGACGCTGACCAAATATAGTAAGCATTTTCGGCTGCTATGCGCATAATAAATTTAACTTTTACGCTCGTTGACGCTTCAGAACGATAGAAAACCTAGAGAATAATGACAGCCAGAAGCGTAAACAAGGAGCTTCTGAAATAGGCCATTATAAAACTGTATTGCTTGTACGATAAAGTATATTTTGAAGAGTCTCTCTGATTAAAACATCGGGGGGCTAAATTCTGAAAGTAACAAAAACAAATCACATTTATTAGTTTATGATAAGTAACAGTATAATTCGTGTTTAGAGTCTCTGACTATAAAATTGCCACGTCGATGTTCAATTCAACAATGATGTTCTGTTTTGGTAAAAAAATATTTCCTCGTTAAGCTTTCTTTGTCTTTCAAATACAGTCTTCGAAATTTAACATGTTTAATTTTCGAAGGCGGTCTTTGAAAGACAAAAGTCTGCCGTCTGCCGATCCCGCGGATCCAAAAGACAAAAATCTTTCGAAGACAGATTGACTGGCCAATAGGCGACTAAGTTTTGATCACATGGAGATGTTCTCTTGAAACTTCCCGCCAAGCAATTTTCTGTATGGGCTTCAAAGACGAAAATCTTTCATGTGCGCAATCTGCGAAGACAAAAATCGTCGTCTTTCAAAGACGAAAGTCTGCTGTGTACGGTGGGCTCAGTGATGAAAGTGCATCATACTTCGACTTTCCCTTTTTCCGTCTCCACTCTTCCCCTTCGCAATTTTTTTTAAATTTAACGTACTGTTCCCGTATCTATCAACATTTCTTTTTGCAAATATGAACGGGTGTCTCTAATGTCGAGGCAATTTCTGTCCACGAATTAGATACTCACCCTGAATCCTTCTGAACCCTTAGCGAGGAATCGTAAAGATGGGAGTATTTCTGCATCTCTTCACATAGCTTCGCTTCAAAGTCGGCCATTGCTATCAAATTTTCCGTACGGAGCGATAAAAAAGTTTAAGATTTCTCAACTCGGTAAGTTCAAGGCATACGGGTTTGCGGAAAATAAAATAAACTTCCGTATAAGACGTGTGAGTTTACCTTTCTTTGGCATAGACATTTGTATTATTTTTCTAGCGTCAATTCATACATTTTATAGATTATATACTAGCTTTTCAAGAAGCCTTGATAAGAACATATATTTTCGCCTGTAGCTTTGCCGGTTGTTTTTGGGGCCATTCTGATAAACTTGTGGAACCCAAACAACTAAGCCATTTAGAAATATTCCTTAGACAGTGATGGGAGGAATTTATCTGTGAAAAAATGTGCTGCCTTTAAAAATTAATCGATACAATCGAACACTAACAAAGTTTTCGTCTTTTTCATTGTTTATACTATATCCTCTGCCGATCTTTCAATCCCTTATCAGGAAACGGAACATGTTGGTAGTCGAAAAGGTAGCTGCGAAGCATCAAATATAAATAAACCTGCGCAACAGTTTCCTGTCAAACCGGTCGGAGGAGCCAAATGGCCGAAAGATAAATGTACACGAGAAGATAATTCTTTGGTAAAATAGAATAGCAGATATTTTTCAATGGCTTGATAATGGTATTTACTGGAATACATAGAAACTCGTATGCTGGAGATCATCTAAACCCAGCGTCTTTTCCTAACAAGAGAAAATGTTTGTCATTATTGAAAGGGTGCACAAAGTATGGCCTGGGCCATGTCGCTTGAAAACTAAACGATGTACAATCTTAGCCACTGGAATTGTCGTAGTTTTCCTACTGGTAATGCTTAGTATTCATTTGGCTGGAGAAATGTTTACAAATATTAACGAACGTTCGTTTTTTATGGACGGCACTGATTATGAAAACATCCCAATTGATTGGCCTAAAATGGACACATTGAACGTGGTAGCTAGACTTGAAAGCAAGGGCGTGCTAGAAGACGACACACCGAAACCTGAGCAGAAATTCAATTCAGAAAGTGCATTGTCTCTTCAGTTAATTGACAATGAGGTTGTAGATGAAACTGCTTTAAGGTCAGAACGATTCTCGAAGTTAATCTCAGAGACGGTATTGATAAAGACAAAACCAGTTAATAAGCTTGTTGTGAGAACCAAGCCACTGGCAAGGAAACATAAAACTGTATTTAATGTACCGGCATATTGGAATTCTGTCCGTGTTTATAATTTCAGAACATCTAATAATGCGAATGTTGCTGATGGTGGCCTGAAAAAGGACACTGGTAAACCAAAGCATGACCAAAAGCATTTGTTTATTCTTGGCCATTATGAGCAGCTTGGAAAAACTACTATTAATTTCTTTGAAGCTGCCAAACTTGCCTACCTAACAAAAAGAAAAATTGTGAAGCCATTTGCCAGAGGCTCCAGGTTTTGTGGCTTGACATCAGGGTGGACTGGTTCTCTGCTTGCAGGGAGCCGCTCATTTAAACCTCTGGATCTTTACTACAATATAACAGCAATGGAAGAAATTTTTGAAAGATCAAACCTTGCTGAAATGGAGTACCTAGACACCTTCAAGAAGAGTTGCTCATTTAAAAAAACTGGGCGTAAAATTGTCATAATTTACTTTTTTTACTCCAGTAATGAAAACAAATATCTTTCATTGACTGATCAGGAATTAAAAAGAGTCAAAAGTTTGCTCAAGCAGTCTAAAGGCTGGATTGATTGCTCCTTTATAAATAAAAGAATTAAAATTGATGAAAGGATTGGAGATGATATCAAAGCTGGACAACAGTATTGTGTTGACCCTGAGGTACTGACAGATGTAAATATTCTTGAGAAGAAAGTGCTAAAAAACAGTCCTTGTGTCACAATCAACCAATGGCAGGGAACAGGCCCTCAAAGGACCCATTTTAATCTCACCATTGTGCCGTCACCTGAAAAATTGCTAATGAGTTTACAGCCCAGTGACTTTGTGATTTCTGAGGTTATGAGAACTTTGTCATTAATTGGACCAAACTTCATAGGAATACACATACGGTCTGAACGCCAGTTACTATGGCATGGTTTGGATAGATGGATAAGATGTATGAATCTTGTAAACCAAGAAACAAGGAAACTAAAGACTTTTAAAAAAGTAAAGGTATTTATTTCTGGAGATATAGGACAGTTTGGCTCAGATCAGATTCCTGCTAATTTTAATAAAACTGTATTGAAAATAATTTATGAAAAGTATGATAGGCTTGTCAAGGGTCTGAATGCTATTTCTTACTCTGTTGTGAGACCAAGGCACCAACTGTGGACAGACAGTGGCCTAGTTGCCCTAATACAAGCAAACATTCTGTCACTAGCAAAGAATTTGGTTACCCTAGGGGCAGGTACTTTTCAGAAATGGATAACAGACAAATTCAAGGCTCGAAAAGCGTCTATTAATGACAAATCATGGACTATCACTAAAGTTTGCTTTGCTGAATCAAAGACAGGGATGATATTTCACAGCCCCAAAAAGCTTAAAAGAGGTTGAAATGGTAAGCAAGATATTTGGAGGAAATACGGATTATTTTCTAGGAAACCACCTTCAGGTTTGGGAAATAATGCTGAAATACTATGTCAAATGGACAGTTTGATTAGATGCAACCAAGTCAGTGACTTTTTCGGGGTATGAAGCTTTCTTAGGTCGGCCAGAAGCTCTTCAAGAATGCCAAGTTTATTCCTAAAATAAATAAACTATAAAATAATGTACACGTTATAACACTTATAAAAGTTGCTATATTTAAAAAGCAGGCCCACCAGACCACTAGAGCACAAAGTGCAGTCACCCCCGACCTAGCCCTCAAGAAATTTAGCAATTTCCTTTAAGTTTATATTGCTTAGTCCTTTCTCTTTGTGCTTTCCCCCCTCCCCTTGTTCAAGAGCTCATCTGTTGTTTCTGACAATAAATAACACAAAGTGAATAATTAGCTAAAAATCATTGTTGGTGACATTAATTGAATTTGCTAATAAACAAAATTTTTTTGGCACAGTCAGTATGAATATTTAGGTATGTCCAAGCTGTTTGTATTTCCATTTTTAAGCTTCTTCTTAAGCAAAATGCATCACATGCTTGTTACAAACCTTTAATGTTTATTTGTTTTGTTTTATTTATCTATTGGGATAAAATTTACCTTCAGAAAAAAATTTTGATTTTCTATTTCTCATGTCCCTATGCATAAGCATGTAGTTATTGTAGGTTAAATTATTTTCTATTAGTTTTTGTAGACCTTTTATGCTTCTTAAATTGTCAAAAATTTATTTTTTTGTAAGCCTATAGGCTTTGTAATTTTTAAAAGTTCTGCCTCATATATACATGAATGTCTTTCTCTTATAAATATATGCTTTTTTCAATGCACCCCATTGTTTTCTACCTCTTTTATCTATCGTATTGAATAATTTTCTATTGGTTTTCGAAGAAAAAATAAATTGTAAAACATTGAAATTGAAAGCCTTGGTAATTCATGAAAATTTGATACTAAATGAACACGTCTTTTCCTTAAAAATAATTGGCTCTTTAAAGTGACCAGATTGTTTTCTGGCTCTTAATCAACAAATTGAATTATTTTATATTATCTTTGGGTTAAAAAATAAATTGTCAAAAATTGAAAATTTGGTAAGCCTATAGCTTTGGTAATTTATGAAAATTAGGTACTATGCAAAATCGTCTTTTTTCTTATGAATAATTGCCTCTTTCAAAAAACGACATTGTTTTTTACCACTTAATTGACAAATTGATTTTTTCCATTGTTTTTGGGATAAAAAATTGTCAAAAATTGAAATTTTGGTAAACCTATAGTCTTTTGTAATTTATGAAAATCTGGTACTTTGCGAAAACGTCTTTTTCTTATAAATAATTGCCTCTTTCAAATGACCAGATTGTTTTCTGGCTCTTTAATTAACAAGTTGATTTTTTTCCATTGGTTTTGGGATAAAAATAATTATCAAAAATTGAAATTTTGGTAAGCTTATAGCCTTGGTAATTCATAAAAATTAGGTGTTATGTGAAAATGTCTTTTTCTTAGCAATAATTGCCTCTTTCAAATGACCCGATTGTTTTCTGGCTCTTAATTAACAATCTGAATTTTTTCTCATTGGCTTTGGGATAAAAAATAAATTGTCAAAAATTGAACTTTTGGTAAGCCTATAGCTTTGGTAATTTATGAAAATCTGGTACTATGCGAAAACGTCTTTTTCTTATAAAAAATTGCCTCTTTCAAAAAACGACATTGTTATTTACCTCTTAATTAACAAATTGATTTTTCCATTGGTTTTGGGATAAAAAAATTGTCAAAAATTGAAATTTTGGTAAGCCTATAGTCTTCGTAATTTATGAAAATTAGGTATTATGTGAAAAGGTTTTTTTCTTATAAATAATTGCCTCTTTCAAATGACCAGATTATTTTCTTGCTATTCATTAACTAATTTAATTAATTTCCATTGGTTTTGTAAGAAAAAATAAATTGTGGAAAATTGAAATTTTCTTAAGCCTATAGCCTTGGTAATTTATGAAAATCTGGTACTATGTAAAAACGTCTTTTTCTTATAAATAATTGCCTCTTTCAAATGACCAGATTGTTTTCTGGCAATTAACAAATTGAATTATTTTATATTGTCTTTGGGTTAAAAAATAAATTGTCAAAAATTAAAATTTTGGTAAGCCTATAGCCTTTGGTAATTTATGAAAATTTGGTACGTCTTTGTGAAAACGTCTTTGTTCTATCGCTTCTTTCAAAGAAGCACGTTGATTTCTGAACCTTTAACGCCATGTTTGATAAGTTCCCTCTTTTTGCTGAAAAATTAATCATCAAAGATTGATTTTTTCGCAAGCCTGTAACCTTGGGTTTCTATGAAAATTTGCTCCTGTAAAAAAATGCCTTTTTCTCAAACATCCTTTTTGCAAACGTACTTTGCAATGTGGTATCGGTTTAATATTGCTTGGGCTGCATTGAAAATACTAAATAAATGTTTTGTTTGTGGAACTACCAATGCAAAGTTCAGATGCTTACTTTTTGGTAAAATAAAAATTACAGAAAGCCATCATATTTTATCCTATAAGGGCACCAAAACCTGTGAAGCATTACTAGAAGATAAATCGATCTTTTGTAGAAGATATCTTTAAAGGGCAAGTTTTCATTTTCGACAATGATATCTTGAGGCCTAATTTTGGCAAAAGACAAGGTCTTGATATAAGCAGTGGCGGATTCAAGGGGGGGGGCAACTAGGGGCAGTTGCCCCTCCCTTAACGAGTTGAAGCAAGTCTGGCGCCCCTTTTTTGGAAATTATGCGCCCCTTTTGAAGAACGAGAATCAAGTGAAAAAGTTTCTGAGACCGATAAGTTAATTTGCTTCAAGGATTACCTCAAAGTTGTGTTGTTTATTCCGAAAATGGATCTGAAATTGTTTTATACAGCGAACTTTCGTCACCAATTTTTGCAAATTTTTCAGCGCCCCCACTACCAACTGCCCCTTCTTCAAATTTGCTCTGGATCCGCCCCTAGATATAAGCACCTACAAACACTGAAATTTTGATACAACCAGGGAAAAACAACTAAATTTAATAACACTTATAGAGAGAGTAATTGCCTGATGATCGCATTAAGTGTGAAACACGGAGTAGCAACGTAGAACTGTCCTGTTCTGCAGACCAAAAGTGTGTACAGCTCTGCCTTTACGGCATCGAGAACTATTAGGTCAGACCGGCGACAGAAATTTTCATTATATATTTGTTTACATGTTGAAAGTGCAAAAAACCACCCGATTGAATGATAGCCTTCGTTTCATATCTTTTTTCTCGTTATGACCAACAAACTTAATTCATTTGGTATAAACCCAAAAGGAGTCAGTAAATCGAAAAAAAGCTAGGTTTGATGCCTCAATCAAAAATTATCAGTTCACATTATAAATAACAACTCAATCTGCAGAAATACAATCCTTGCAACACTAAAACCTCACAGTTTTTAAAAGTTGCCCCCCTCACAATGTCCCCCATCACAATGCCCCCCATTACAATGTTCCCCCCATTACAATGCGTCTTAATATCCATATTGCATGAATGTCAGTAACAATCTAACCAAGATTTGAAGCATAAACATTTCTAACAAAGGAATCAACATGGTCAGAAAGGAGAGGGGGAGAGAGATCTAGAGCGTTGATTACTTGAAATGTAGTTCAACTCTAAGGTTGTCAAACTTAGGACATGAATATTGTGCTGTTCTTCCAGCTACTTTGAGCAAGGATTGTAAGTACACTTATCAAGATATATTTTATACAGTAGTTATCATACTGTTTTCAAATCAAACTGCGTGACAATAAAATGTGTGGGTTCGTGGTTGTCATTATCCACAACATATTAAAATATCAAGGGATACAAAACACGCAGTAAGTAATTCCCGAATACAATCTAACTACTAATAAACCTTGAAAGGTATGTACAAACACAAGACAGTTAATGAACCTACCCTGCCTATTGCAACTCACCAATTACTCAGTATGTTACATAACTATGGCAAGGGGTTGAAATGGATGCAAAAGGTACTTCATTGACTTTCCAGAGAAGACAGTGTGATTTGAAAAGGATAAAACACTTGCAGGAAAGCATGTTGGTACAAAGTTCTTGCGTCGCAAGTCAACAGCCTGTTCAAGGCCATGGCAAATCGATCGAGACCTGTGAATAAACAAATAAAGATTAAGAAAAAAGTATCATAAAAGATGGGAAAAATTGAAACAAAAATAAAGAAAGATGAGAAAGCAGCTTCCTTGCTTGATATTTCATATCAAAATGCAGGATGGGCCAAACAAATTGTGATATAATCACACTCCAGTCAGTGATAGTGATAGTGATATTTTATGTAATCACTTCTGTCACCCTACTCAATCAATTAATCAGTCAGAAAAGAAATGCAATGCGAATATAGAGAGCTTCAACGGTTGATGCATATTCAACAACAGAGTCGATGGATCAGTCATCAATCTGATCATTTACATCATCAAATTTAAGTCAATCATGAAATTAATAGGATGAAAAATTCATTGAAGCAGATAGTCAGATTCTCTTATTGTCACTTTTTCGAAAAAAACACTCGAACCAATCAAGGGAAATAGCAAAAGCTCACGAGCTACACACTTTCTTTCAATCATTTATTAGGTCAGCAAACTCACGATATTTCAGATACTACAACTTAGAGGAGAATAAATAAAGCTTCTACGCAATTCATGAAAAATGTAAACCATCGTGGCATTACGTAAATTGAAGAGCAAACGAGCTATAGCGACTTGCGAGTCAAAGCGCTCTTGCATACAAATAAAACCAAATAATGACCATATATCATAGCCTGACAGACTCACTTGCACTTTTGCTTCTGATATTCAAAAAGAGGCTGCTCATCTAACACCAGAACCGTGCCTGTTTTGATGTTCCAAGAGAGAAGAAATCCGGTCATATATGTAGAGAGACGGGGACTTGATGACCGGTCGCCAAGCTTGCCATTCAAATGTACCAACGCCTTGAGCAAAATGACAACTTCTTTGTTCCAGGCACAAACCTATTGGCAAAACAAGCTATCAGAAATGCTTAATGAATATATTGTCACACATTCGATATAAACACCAATCATTTCACGACTAATTTCTTTCAATTAAAATTAAAATACCGACAAGTCATACAATTATCTGAGTTCCGAATATAGACCCAGGGCTTATGACGGTTTACAGGCCGTTTTGGGAGGCTTAGGGGGCACTTTATTCTGAGAGGGGGACTATGGATGGAATTAGGTCAGTGTTGGAAGAAAATTCAAAAGCAGTTTTCAAGACTAAATGAAAAGATCGGTCATGTTTTGGAGAAGTTTTCGGTCAAGCTGCAACCATTGTGGAAAGATGGGTATATTGAAAAAGTCACAGGAAAGATAGCTGGTAAAGCTACAATCCCTGACAAAAATAGTTGAGACTTTTCAAGAAAAGTCGATATTTTCATTTTCATTTGAAAAATAACTTTCCCCCTCCCCCAATACAATTTTGAATGCATGATTTTTTACAACGTAACGTAGAGAATTGCAAAATTTTTGTCCGGGATTGTAGAAAAGCTCCAGAAGGCACAGCCACTCGAGGACAAGACATTGAGATATCCTGTGTATATAAAAGTTTTAGACAAAAGTATTACAAACCAAATGTAAGAAATGCACTGAAGAAAAATTGATATATGTTGTTTTGTTGCAACTGTTCGAGATATATGTTGTTTTGATTGTATCAACTGAAGAAGGTATTTTCAAATGTGAGAAATCGAAAAAATATATGAAAAAGGATGAGGCTAACTGAGTTTTTAATCAAATTATTTTAATATTGGTGTTTACTTTGGGGGATAAAAAGAAAAGCATGATATCATACATCCGTAGTTACGAGCCTACATAATTTCAGTTTAGACTAGTTAGGTTCTTAATTATACGAGATCGTCAATACCCCGAGAATGTTATTTTCCACAGTAAAAACTTCGAAACCAATCAAGATTCAGAAATTATGATGCTCAATGGCACTGTATTCAAAATTGCTTTTCGAAGACAAATTAACTAGAGAGAAACCTGAACAAGCTGCATGTCATAATCCTTTAGAGACACAAATCTTTCCTTTATTGAATCCATGCTACGTAGCTTTCGATCCAAGAACTGTTCTGCATCGAAAACAACTTGCTTCACAATCACGTCGGCATCTTCAACTGCCTCCTTTAAATGCGAACTCGCATGACTAGCAGTTGAACATCGATGGCTTGCAATCTGTGGTACATTTGTACCTTGATCAGTTGTTATTGTCAGGGGGAATGCAGTGCTGGTGCAGTCAAACGGGGGACTGTGTTGATCACTATTGGCGGGATTTCTTTCGCTATAGAAAAAAAGGTAACAAGAAGTGTGTCCAGGGGAATCTTCATCCGAATACGGACTCGAATGTTTCTCAGAATCCGGATCATCTGCCCGCGCACCATCGTCAGTATCTATTTCATCTCTATCTTTACAACGTTCTATATCTGAGACATCTGATCCACTAGCGACCGACTGATTAGAAAGTGAATCTTTGTTTATCATACTAGTTTTGTCCGCCCAAGATTGGAAACCTGGTTCGGAAACATCACATCCACAACCGGAAGGTTCACTGTGTGGCTGGTTGGTACATTTCAGTTTTTCATGATTTGATAAAACATGACAGAAGCAATCTGAATTGCAATTCAGTGGCTCAAACAATCCGGATATTGTCTCTTGCCCAGTTCTGCCATCATCTTTTCGATATGCACTTAGAGCACAAACAAGGTCCCCGGAATTTATCAGAATGGTATCGTCAAGTTTTAAGTTAACTGATGGGAAAAACGGGGGATACGGCGGTACAAGTTCATATTTCAAATGTAAAGCAAATGCTTTTCGTATTTTGAAGGTCTTTGATGCAGTGTTAGCGTGCTTATGAGATTTTGACGGTGATGGAGCGACAGTAAGATAGCACGTTGAACTTTGCGCCGACCGCGGTGAAGGAGCATATGCAACAGACGATCTCAAGCTGCAATGAAGATGGTATCAAGTAATAACAATAATCATAATAATATTTTAATAAGTTTAAGGCGGCAACCCATTCAGCAACGCTGATTTAGGGGCTGTCCATTTACAAAAAACGATAATCAATCAAAAACATTGTATAAAATTGTTTCTTTCCTATGATCTAAATCGTATAAATAGTAGCTCAAATAGTTTAAAGAATGTGATTGGGTCAGTCAAGGAAGGAGCTTTGAGTATTACAAATACAGCTTATATGAAGATAAGGATGAGGTCTGTTTAGCATCGACTGACAATAGCCCCCTTCAATTGCAACTTGAAACCACTTTGGTATAACTCTGATATTAACTAAGGCTAAACAAAAGATAGCTTAAACTTATGTTTCATATTTGGAGATAACATAACATAATAGTTTTTTCACTAGAACGGCAATCATGCTTCTTAACGCTTTGGAGTTCTAAACGATGAGTTATATACGATTTTAGGGTCTAAAAAATACTGTAAAATGGCAAAAATTATAAGGGTAGAAAATTGTTTGCTATGGAGAATTATTGTTCTGCATTGACGTGAAGCTCCCCATGGTGTCATTTTAGTTGTATCGCAAAACAGTTGATAAGTAGTGTAATAAGTAATTTATTGTAAATTTGAAAATTGATGACAAAAAAAGCTACACTAGGAAGGTATCTACCTCAATTAGATTTTACTTTGAACATCCTCCAAAAATTGACAATAATAATGAAATTGCTTGCAAAAATGTAACAAAAAAAATTAAGACAAAATGGCAATGGTAACATATATCAAAAGATCCTTCCGTTCTATTTCCTTTAACTATCTACGTCTGTAGGAAGCCGATAATTGTGATCTACTTAGTAAACCAACCCTACATAATTAAAATCAACTTCAAATAGAGACCGACAAATACCTGGAGCTGTTACCATGGACTACAAGGTACTTGCCACAGGGTGGCTGACAGATCAACAAATGCAGTTCATGCCCTATGTCTTCTCCAACAAACAAAGGGACCAAATGTGCCTAAAAGGAAACCAGAAAGTAAGAAAGACTGGAAAAATCTGAAGACTAAAGTATGAGTTTTGCTAAAATGAAAGTAAAAAAGGCTGAAATTTCAGCAACTTCAAAAGCCAAAAGCATAATTTGATGTTTTATTTTTATGTTCTACATCAATCAACATGTCTATGCTGAATGAAGGTTGAGCCTGAGGTGGAAAGAATCTAAGGCCAAACAACCCTCTGTTGCTTTGAGCTTGGTTCTGTTGAAACCGCAACTCATACCCTGGCAACTCTCAATGAAAAAACTGTAAATAGGATGACATTTGCAACCCAGCATTAGGCCCTTTTTTATGCACAATTCTCTGTGCTATCCAGCATTCATCCTCTTGAGAAAAGAAGTCAGGCAAACAAATATACCATACTATGTGAAAATTACTGTTTTTAAAGTCTGCCATTAAGTGCTTGATGCTGTCATGGTATGTTTCCTAAATAAGCACGAAGCTCAAAGTTGGAACTTAAAGATCCTCCTTTTTTAAATGCAAAAATTTTTTACTAGTTTGTACATAAATATACTTTTCCAACAGGAAAACAAACAAAGAAGGGTTCAGTGCCAATTGCATTTTGATGCAGTGATTTTGAAGGCTCTTGTACAATGAACATGCTTTGCAATTACATTTTTCAAGGCCAGTCTAATATAGTACTGCATGAAAATACAAAACATAATTAATATCTTAAGACAGCTGCCACTAAGCATTCTGGTTGCATAAAAACTTAAACTATGTACGATAAACAGGTGCATCTACATTTTCAGAAGAGATATATAAAGGGTTATCTTAGCCTATACAATGTGTGAGTATATAGTTTCATTCTATTGAATAATTATTATTCAACCTTACTGTTGTTCCTTTTTTCTAGGGCAACACAGAATTACTGCCCCCCCCCTGCCCCCACATTTTTCCCAATACAGTTGTGCAACAAGTGGGTGATCAATGGTAAAGGAACCTGCTTCAATTCTAATTCATTACTACCCATTTTGTATAAGCAGGGAAAATTGAATATAACTGTTTAAAATAAACAATAAACTTTTGCTTTCGTATTTGTGACAAACTGTGTTGATGGAAGAATAGAAAATCATAAATAGAGACATATCTTTACCTTTTTTGAAGGCATTTTAAAGTGGAACTCCCACCAATTCAAAGAGTATTTATACCCTAGGTATGGGCAGCCATCTTCCATTTCATCAATTATTCTGCACTGATAAGAAAGAATGTATTTCCCATCTCTTGAGAAGCCAATAATCACATGTCTGCAAAAATACATTGGAAGAAAAAATAAAATAAATCACTTATCATCTAACTAGATGGAGATCATATGATGTTAGAGGCACTTCAAATACGAAAAGATGCATTTAGAAATGCTTTCACCTTGCAAACTGCCTGAATGGAGAGACCAAAGAACAAAAAGATCATTTCAAGATGTGTTCATATTATAAACAAATGAATATAATCAAATATCTCCCTCAGCTTGGACTAGCTACTTAAAATGAAAAATATGGCTCTTCCTCCATTCCCAAAAATGAAATTCCTTGCAAATTATAGTTTAAGTTAAAGATATATGTAAATGAATCTTGACGCATTTCCCTTCTAACTGATCAGATTTTTTTGCATAATGTAAATTTTAGCATAGTAGGACAGGTTCATAAAATTTTACGTGTATGGGTGATCAAATGATCATGGCTGGCAAAGAATACATTCTCACATGCAGATTCACAAAAAAAGTTGCAAGAAATTTTATCATAAGATCTAAATGATCTGGGAAACAGCATGTTTTTCCAATTCTAATGCTCCATGACAGCATTAAGAAAATATTATACCCTTAAACTCACCCAAGAAGGAGATTTTTCTGACTTATAATGCTGCGTAATGATATCTGTAGATGCTCTGGGCATTTGTCATAGATTCTCCCCATTTTCCCACTGGAATGCTTTTGAAAAAGGTATCCAGTGATCTAGAGGAAATGAGACAATTTAAGACTGTCAAAAAGTCACAATAAAGAAAAGTTTAGGAAAAAATATAAATATTTATTCCTAACTTATTCCCTGGTTATTCTGGTGATTCAAATTAAATGGATCTCTATGTCAAATACGCACAATTTTGAGACTGCCTGATGTGTAAAATTTGACACCAAGTCCCTGGCCAGACTGGAAACTTTGTTTCTTTCATTTTGAAAAGTTGCAACTGCACACCTGAAATCACACACATCTGAGAAATTTGCATTGCTATTAAGGTAAAATGTAATCAAATAGAGACTTAGATTATGTGCAGATGGAAATTGAGGGTGCGCAACATAGTTTCCAGCCTGGGCCCCTGAGAATTTAGTGGCTAGAAAAAGAGCCTTTGGATGTGCCTTGAACCCAGTTACCTACAGGTGTAAAAAATTTATGATAGAAAATCAATTATTTTCATCAAGCCAAAATTCAGCATGTAGTATTGCAATTGCATGCAGTGCTAGAGAAGGTCACTGTCCGGGCAAAAGGATAGGCCTATTAGGACTATCTACTCCTCCATTCTAAGAATTGGTAAGACCGCAAAGATGTGATTTCAATTGGAGTCTAAATTGTTAGCAGTGATGTTTTTTTTAAAAAAATTCATATAATTTTCAAATACCTTATGCCTATAAGACAAAACCATACAGAATTCTAATAAAATAAATATATATAAAAAAGTTGATTGAAATAAAATCTTCTCTAATGATGTTCAGATGACAGGAAAAAACAATAATCATAACAGGGTTTTAGGCACGACCACGTAGAGAAAAGATGTTTCATTTCTAAATTATGATGATCGAGATGCCACTGCAGTAAACAAACTTTAATATCGGCATTATGATAGCATACAACACACGTTATATAATAATTGATATTTCGATAAAGTACCTCTCGTGTAAGAAGCTTCTGAACAACTGAATAGTTTGACTGCATCTCGTCTCTCAAAGTTGCCCCTCGTTCTCATAACAGCTAGGCCATCGTTCCTTCCCGCCCAGCCTCGTATTACACAACACAACTTTCGCGGAAATTCGATTTGATGAAATTTTTGGGGAGGGGTAATATTTTGGCGAAGTATTCTTTGTGATGTGGCTCAATGATTTCAAATCTGCCTTTACGCAGCCACACTGCAACAAAATTGGCGTTCCCTATTGAAAAAATGGCGTTACCTATCGGGAAAAATGGCGTTCCCTGTTGGTAAGGGGGCGTTTTCTTACACTAAAAAAGCGTGACCTTAGACATTTTGTTTCGTTTCCCCTCCCGTAGCCCAGAGGCTGGCGCCACCATTGTGGAAGTAGCTTCCTATTGGTCAGATGTAAAAAAACCTTTGTTCCCCAAAGGGCCACCTTTCCGGGAACATTTATAAATGTAGCGATTAGATGGCACGGAAAACCCTCGTACAACTTATAAAAAAAGTTGTCAAGATTTTTTAAAGATATAATGTAATAGATATTAGATGTATTAATTGCATTAAGTAACATTACCAACATGATGCGATCCAGTGCTCTTACTTGACACAAAAAAGGCAATTTGATTTTACGTGCCACCCAGAATCCAGAAAGTTGTCAACTTTCCTCTTGCCAAGAAAACCTTACTATAAAACCTTCCTTGTATTCAGTGGGGTTAAAATTGGCGTGGTTTGGAAATTGGGGGTATTCAGCTAGTCTTGTTTCCCTCAACTTGCAGCACTTTTTTCCAAAACATATCAGAAAATGTTACTTGTTTTCTGAGAAATGTAAAGTCACATGCTTTTATCAATTAATAGCAAAAGCGTGTCATGAATGGAATATATTTATAGATTATAAAATTTCAATGCTTAAACTTTACCTTCCTCAATTCATTTTTTCTCTACGACCATCCTCCGGCCATTGGCCGTGATCTTTTCCTGACTCTGGAACCACCATAGCTGAACTTTATTACACACACGTACAACTTACACCTTATTAAAAGCAGAAGCATCTAAACGCCTCGAAACTTCATTAAAATTTTGACCAATTAACACTGAATCTTGCTATTCCGCTCCGAACAATGTTATTTTATGCATTTTTTAAGGGGTTTGGTGTGGTCAGCCAACATTGTTTAGAGGTGCGCTGTTGGTCTGTTTTACTGGAAACAGTTGATTTCATTCTTCCAAGAACCTTTCACAAAGATTGTAGTCACTTTTTCTTCGAGTCGACTCTCAACTAAATGATCCTCAGGATTGATTTTCCTGGACAATATTCAAGTTAATTAACTGGAGCCGAATATTCAGTCTCGTATTTATCAGGTAAAACAAATATCTAAATTATTTTTAGGCCTAAGTATTCTGTTACTGTTTATGTGGCGTTGTACATGTTTATCAAAACACGCAGTGCATTTTTCATCGGAGGTAAGCTTTCCCAAAGTATAATTTTGGTAAATCCAGAATACTTTTCCTTCGCCCTCATTATCTCCTTTGCAGTTTTGATTTGCCCTCGCAGTAGTATATATGATTTGTTTTATTTCGTATGACTGAAACTAAAAATGTGTGTCCAGTTTCATTTTTGTGCGGGTCTCTTTTCTGCGACTCGCTCGCTTTGATTTTGTTCGAATAAGATTTCATTCTGTGTGACTCGCTTGAATTATATGTGTGTTGTTTTTCTTTCCCCGTGAATCGGTTTGTTTGAATGAAAATCAGTTTAATTTTTGTGCATGACGGTTATGGGCAACCGTAATTTTGAGGACAAATATAAGGTTTGCCGACCAATTCATCAAGAACTCACTCGTGAACAGCCCATTTGCTACGTCCCTGACCGCCCCTTCCCACAAAACCCATCCGCAAAGAGAACAGCCACCTCGGTCTTGCAAATCTAAAATTACAACTAAAACCTGCGATTCTGCTATCGGGCAGCATTTACTAGAATACCCAGATTGTGCAAAAAACTACAATGGCGACATGTTTCGGATTATTGGTAAAGCCCGATCGTCGTTCCGTCTAGCAGTTTTGGAATCTATCTACATAAGCACGAAAAAACCGCTACTGTGTAGACAAAAGGAGTTCGCTTTCACCTTAGGACTCTATTGGTAACATTCTCAATAGGCACTGATTGGTCTACCTATACAGTCATGTGCTCGTGATTCTGATTGGCCTATTTCGATCCACAACTGGGTATATATATTTCCTAGCGTAGAGTTTTCGATCTATGTTCTGACGTTTCAAACTCTGAAGAGTGTCAGACGGAAAGCTTTAGTTTACTAAATGTTTGCTTTTTTCAAAGCCATTTACAAGTTTTGTACCACCAGAAGATTGTTTAAAATAAAAAGAAGAAAGAAAGCAAGAAAGGTAACACTGAATCGAGCTAACACCCGAGTAACTGAGTATGTTGAACATAATTTGAACGCAAAACCATACGCGTGTCTAAGAAACGGTGTATACTAAATGAATTATATGTACGGTCTAACCCATATACCCAGTACAAACACACTGATCACAAAATGCATCGGAAAATGCAGGTTCAAAATCAATAACAGCATAAATCCAACAAGGTGAAGCTTTAGACCCTTTCTTGTAATTTGACATAACACTGTCCGTTTTCCGATTACTGGACATTTATCAATTAACCATATGGTAAATTTAAAAAAACTACATAAACGAATGACGTCATTAACAATAAAGATTAAAAAATAAATTAGCTGCTGATTCCGCAGACATTGATCTGTTCAGGTTTTTCATTAATTTTAAATGGCTCTTCTTAGATAAGCAAATATTTCGCTTCAAGGGTTGCTTCAAATCGAAACGAGGCAAAATTAGCATTACATTGAACTGATGTTAAAAACATAGGTCGACACGCTCACTTATAGTAGAGTTATGCATAGCGTACAAAAATTATGATAAAATCGAGCATTAGGGGAGTTGATAAACATTTTGTAGAACAGCTGCTAATGAAGACTGAAGTATTTACTGCATACAACGAGTTTCACGAGAGTTTAACGCTACAGCGTTCATATGCCTTATTGTTCTATGTATTACGAAATTCTGACGAGCAGCCCACCGAGAGGGGGCATGAGGGGCAGCTTAACCCAGTCCCTGAGTAGAGAGGGGAACGAAGAAGTTGTAACGAAGTTTCTAGCAATAAACAACAACCAGAGGCCTCATCTTTCTTATCGCCCTAGGGCCCAAAAAAGCTCTCGGCGGGCCTGCTGACGAGCAACGAATTAATCCCAAATGCAGCATGCAGCTGCAATTGAGGAACGAGACAACGTGAGAACAATGGGTACATGAAATTAGTAATTTGAATATCTTTGTAACCAAGGTAATAATTTTATGATTTTGATTTACTACGAGGATCTACTTTCATCATTCATATAAACGAGCTATTCTACCTTGAATTCCTGTACAACTGAGCATTAGTGTTCTCAGTAATAATAGTTTTCTAACATATCTTGAATTTACGCTTCTGATGAGCTTTCAACAGTTTGTTTTAAAGCTAAGGCGATATCCATGTCGTTTTTTCTTTCGCTGTCGCGATCGGTCTTTGCCCAGTCAAGATCCTGCCCATTATGGTTACCCGTTGACTGTAAAAAAACACCATTCGATATCAGATGAAGGTAAGGGAGACAAATTTAAGAGAGACAAAAATATGCAATTTTGTTAGCAACAACAATAGATTATATTGCTAGCGCCAGTAATAGGCCATATTGTTGACATCATCACAATTACATAGTAAGCAACTGGATTTAAACATATGGTACATCCATTAGATGCGTCCTTGGGCCAAAAAAACATGAAAACAACTCATAGAGTTTCTCATCTTACAACAACAGCAGTAGGCCTATCATACGCAAAACTTTGCTAATGCGAAAAATCTTTGAAAATCCCCGATTAAACTTTAGAAAAACTCCACTTATGTTATCTTTAATAAACAGCCAATAAAGTGACAAAATATCAACAACTCAATGAGCTTGTTATCGATTTCCTTAATTGTTGCAAATGTGACCAAAAATATCAAAAATAACCTCTCCGCAGAAATATATAGCGACCGATCAAGAAAAACTCCTAAAGCCTGAGTATATCCCTTGCAACCTCAATGATCGTGCAAGTTGTCCTTAGGCCCTACAACAGTGTACTTGTGGCTCTTATTCGTTGAAAACTGTGTACACGCAGCAACGACTCCAAGAAATATGTTAATGAATACATGCAGCCACTTTTTCCATACAATAGTGCAGATGTTCTTTTACCCCAAAAACAGGGTATCACGGTTACGGCCAATCCATAAAGTAACCACCCCAATAGATGCCCCTTGTCAAACCCCTTGTCAAAATAAGCTAATGGCCACTAATCTACGAAATACAGTTACAGAGTTGTCGCAATAAAGCTTTAGAAGTCAAAACAAAATAGGAGATCGGGCTTAATCAAAACAATTATACCAATCCAATCCGATCAATAGTGACTTCATTACTAGGTGATACCCCAAATACCACCAATCGACTCGTCTCGATGAGATCTTTCATTTGGTGCAATCCTATCAGAGGTACCTCATGTATGACAAAAATTTTGGGCCTACACATACAATGCCCTTATCTCTTAAAAAATATCAATAAAGCCACCACCGCAAGAATGTAAGTAAGTATTGTCAAAGTCACGATTTTATCATACCTTCGGAGTATCATCACCAAATGCTGACCACGGATCATCAGCCTTGCCAACTGAGGCTGTACCGGTGCTTCCAAATGGATCATCATGACCGGATCCAAATGGATCCGACCAAGCGGACTGACTCGAGCCACCAAAGAACGGATCATCTTTACCGCCTGCATGGGATGAGGAAACTGACGACTTTTTAGATGTTGCTGGGCTTGCATCATCGGCAGAAGTGGGTGCGAACGGATCAGAGGTGAACGGGTCTGACGCTGAAGACTAGTTGAAAAATATATGCAAGTTTACAAAGATGTCAAAAACAACAATTCATAACTCATAAATACATTTCCAAAAGTCACATCATACGAAAATCTTCTATACTCTTTAAAATATTTTGCATAAGATGTAAGATGTCTTTCATATCAAGGCTTATCAAACTATAATCCCTGCCAAAGTCCTTGAAACACCCCGTTGCCTAAGTGTTTTTTGGAAAAATTAACTGTTCCCGTAAAAAAGAACGACTCGCGCCCCCCTAAAAGAATCTTGGTTGTAGAGATTAATCATAGCTATCAGGAAGAATCCATTGGAACACACCGAGCTTCTTAGGTTTCCACAAAACGACACAGTTTGGAGGGGAAGATAGGCATGTATCATAAAATGTTAAAAAATTTATTGAAGTGTATCAAGTCTATGAATTTAAAACTGTGCATCACCTTTGATGTCTTTGGAGCTGCGAAGGCGCCACTTCCGAATGGATCTAGTGAACTAAAAGGATCCGCTGCTGATTCCATAGGTCTACTTGCTGAAAAATATAAAAATATTTCTACGTTAAAATCATTCAGAATAGCAAAAAAGTTAAGACAGTTATTGACTATTACTTGGCGATGTTAGCTACAAATTACCATAACAATATACCGACTTGGATTAAGACTTCGAAAACACTCGTGGATTTACAACTGGAGTTTTTCACTGTCAAGTCTTCGGTACTCGTTATGAAACAATACAACTGCGGTATCGTCAAATTGCGATGATTAATGAAGGTTACTGTTTTACCGGTCTGTCATAAAGTGCTCGATAAGTACAAGCAGAACAGAACGGTGTTTGGTACCCTGGGTGCCAGAGTCTCCATTATTTAGTCTCTGAAATATAATTCGAAACTAGTCACAGAAATATATATCTGAGCAAGGGTTGAAAAAAGAATATCTTTCCCCTCCTCTGCATCCACTAACTTTTTGCCATTTACCCGCTTATTCATCCGTTTTTTCTTTAGCCTGAGTTCCAGACCCCAAACTAAAAGTATTGGAATCTGGGGCTGAAGCTATTTTCTCTTATGCTAAAACACAAAAGCTGCGGTATTTTTCAGGGTACAAAATACGTACTCAAATGTTTTCATAGATGCATATATAGAGATTTCATGGCCGTTCACAATAACTGGGCAAAACTAAACTAATCTTTAAGTATTTCTTTGAAAAAATCCAAGGATGATATTCGATTTTTGTCTGTAGTGATACTAAACAATTAAATCGACTGCTGCATTTTTGTCCATTAAATTGCAATAAATACTTCATAAAATGAACACAGTTTAGGAGGATGACTAGAATTCAATAGAGAAGAAGCTTACTCACTATATCAAATCCACATAAACGGCTTTAACGCACGCTAAAGATCATGGGAAATGGTTGTACACTGTTTAGATGTGTCCATTTTCAAGAGAATATGCTGCATGCATGCAAACGACGTATGGTCGCCATAATAAGCAAAATTTCGTGACGTTTGGTTGAATTTGCTTCCACAGCAAACTGCTAACATTCTGAGTGAAACTAGGATTTAGCCTAAACCTGGTATTCTCATCGGAGGATAAAAAACTGTATTATTCGTCAGAATAAGTCAAAGAGCAGAAACACAAAAAAGTTGCAATCACGGAATAAATGTCCCTCTAGAAAAACTTCTACCACTGTTCATTCGCCACCCTTCATTCACCAGCCTTTATTCGCATAAATATGGCTTGGGTTGCTAGCTAGTTAGGTAATAAATCTGAATAATCTGAATAATCTGGCCATCAAATCTGAATAATCTAAAACCATCTGGCTAATAAATTTGAATAATCTGAAACAATCTGGACAATACCTTTATCTATATTTTTCATCTCTATCTCTACTTCTATCTTTATTTCAATCTCTTCAAATGCCTCCGATTCATCGCTTACTTCAAACGCTAATTCAACATTCAAAGTACCTCTGTCACTGCTACCATATTTTCAATACAAATTGTGCAACTTATGATCTACGAACGTCATTTTGCGATGCTGAAATCGACTTTCAACATCAAAACATTCGTATGTCTTTGCGTGTTCGTCTTTCCCTTGAAGGCATTTTCCTTCCTTCCTTAGATAAAACAGCTTTTCGGTTCAATTTTGAGAACATAAAAGATACCGCAGAGAGTAACCTTTAAGCGAAGCTCTAGTTATCCCTGAATAAAATATGTGATAGAATCTCTTGACCGGGTTAACAAGAAAAAATGGATTAAATATCCTGGTGTAGTAACAAGTAGCGCAGCTGAAAATAGTCTTTTATCATTCACACTTTACTATGTCTCTCCTGTTCTACTTACGACGAAAAGACCAACTTAACAGTCATTTAAATTCACTAAAAATCATATTAATCTACAATTAAAGATACGGATGTTTTAGATGCCCTTAAAAGACTGGTGATAGGTTTCAGATGAGCATAAAAAATATTCCCAATCTGCCAATGTAAATCAGTTTAAAACAAAGGTGATGGTTAAATGATTCTACCTCTTTCTTAGTGTTTACGAAAATATTTATAAAAACCAAGATAATTCCAAAAGTCGCTAAATCAGATGATTTGAAACGTGTTTGAACCTTTTTTGCAAATGTCACCACCTATATACTTTTAATCAACCGGAACGATGTAAAATCCGAAGCAAAGCCCATATCAATAAAACTTAGATGAAGAATTTTTCGTCCATTCAACGAGCCATATGCCTGATAAACTCTGGATACTGTGCCAGTAACAAACATGAGTGGATTATCACTAAAGCTATAACTGGCTATGTCAAGCTAAAATGTACACATTCTACTTTGTAGCAATTATCCACATAGAGAAGAGCTAATAGCGATCTGAAACACGATGTTTTTGATATCAGTAAAATTTTATAGCATACATAAATTAAAAACATTTATAATTAGCCGATTAAACCATTTTTCTTGTACAAAATAGACGATTCTTTCTTATCATTTGTAAATTCAATATTGAATAATCTTTCCAGAATATGAAAAAAGACATAAAAAGTGACCGTCTAATTTTGCTTCGGTTATCGATCTGCAAAAGGAACGTCTCGTTCTGCTCGTGATTAATAGAGATGAAAGCCACAGCAGACAATTCCTTCTCCGACACAGATCTAAAGTTTCTCTCTTCTATTACCTTGCAACTGCTATCTTACGTTATCTCTGCTGTTTCCTTTAAAGATTCCAGCCAGTTACCTTTTATCAAAGAACCCTATAACAGTTATGGGATTGTTGCTAAGCAACTGACAATTGCTGTGCGCGCGTTGTTGCCAAGCAACTGACAATTGCGAGCAGCAGTTGACATAGGGCCTACGGGTTGTTCGTCATTTCATCGATCAACACATTTTAGCAACATCTCCAAGTAATGGCCACTTTGAAAAATAGGATAAGGTGATGTCGAAGGGCCGCAACGATTGAGGCAAAAGCTTAGAAAATATAATACCCGTCAAAATCATTTGGAACACCGAGAAATTAGCGTTCAATTTTTAAGTTTTTCATCTCTTTCTCCCAAGTACTACTTCTTATGCCCCTCCTCCAAAACAATGTTGATAGTCTAGACAAATATTATACCAGTCACACGAAAAAACGAACTTCCCAATTTCCTACGTTTTATAGAAAACCATCATTGCTCCAAGGGGGAGAGGGGAATGGTGGAAGTCCCCTAGAAAACTAGCATTTGATCCCAGAATTTTGGGAGGCATTGTAGAAATGTTACAGGTGCACATGCGAGAAACCATTTTGGCAAGTGCTTTTCAATTCCCCTTGAAACTCTGTTTGAAAAGTACCTTTAAAATTCGTTGTACTAAATTGCCTACTTCAGATTTGAAATAAGAAGCAAATTTTAGTCACCATGTCATGATGCTTGTGATTTCCCACAGCTTCTTCTGCTGACTGGAAACCAAATTCCTATGATTTTTGCTATTTTATCTCAGATCTTCTCGATGAGAGCTATATAAATCTTCTCTACAAGAAGTATTTACTGAAACAAGGATATCGAAAATGGTGGTGCAACAGGGAGGCATGCCCAACAACTTTTGGAAAATTCCCTTTTCTTAGAAGTAATCTCTTTGAAAATGCTCCCCTTTTCTGCCACATGGTGCCCTTTCTACCTGTGCCCTTTCTACCTGTGCCCTTTCTACCTGTGCCCTTTCTACCTGTGCCCTTTCTATCTGTGCCAGCGTTACTTTGAACCAATTCCATCGTGCCTGGTATAACTTAACCTTCAGTTGACCAGGCTCCGAATAGCAACAGCCTGTGGGATCAATGGCCAGGCTAGAGAGGCTACAGAAAACACAGAAACGATTTGTTTATGGCTATGAAAGCATAGCCTTAGTTCCATACGCGCTGGATCGATTAGTGGGATACATCTCCACACTTTTCCGCGTCTATATTTGATGAAGGCCTGGTAGCTTACCTTGTGTTGTTGATGACGAACTTGGAGCAGCCGATGTGGCAACTGGCTTGAATGGATCGGATTTAAATGGGTCTACTTCATCCTGTATGGAATAGAGAACATTTCGTTCAATCTCAACTGATAGCCACAAATAAAACAACCGGCACAGCAGGATATGGATATCAGGAAAAATATCCCAGATACCAAGAAATAAACTATTTTTTAAAATATCATAGTCAAAAGTACACCAAGGGTATATTTGCCAAAAATTAGAAGAACGAAAGAACATAAACCAGAACAACGCAATTTCTCTTTAAAATTTACTGTAATGTTAGCAAAACAGGATATAAAGTTTATCAGCTAGTCAACCATGGTACTAAAAATGTAAGGCAACCCTGCTATTGGGCTTTTTTTGAAAGAAGTTATAGTATGTATTTCAAACAAGCCAAATTTGAGATAAGAACAACAATTAGAGCCTCAAACAGCCCAGAAAAATGAACCTCGGCTGAAAATATCGGGTTCTTTTTAAAAAGAGTGTGGATGTTTGAAAATATGTATAATATTTTTCCATATGCAACAACGTTTAAAATGATTGGAAACATGAACTTTTCACGCAGCGTCGTTCATTCTGTAATGTGCAAGTAATCAAGATACAGTTTAAATCGATGTACTCAATGAATCCTTAGCATTGAACCACGAAAGCATGGTGGTGATACGGTCCCGGACTACGAGGCGGGTTAATGAAAACAAAAAATTAAAAAGCTACTCCAAGGCCAATTTTGCTTTCATTGTTGTTCCAAGAAAGGTTTTCAATGCTTAATGAAATTTTCCGAAGAAAGCTGAGCTTTCATCGGGATTTGCCTGGCAGTCGTTAACCCTGTTATTTACTAAGGAATCATTCTACCTTGTCTTTTATTAATCGATTTTTTTAATGTTTAATATTTGACCTCATGCGAGTGAGACAACAAATATGAGGTCAAACAGAAAAAAGTTGATACCACTGAAAAAGAAAACATTTTGGCCGACAAGACATTTTTCAGAATTGTTAGAGTTGAAAGAACACGTGCAAAAACAGGTCAATGCATACCAAAAAGGCTAAGCAATGACCGGTAAATTACACTAAGTTTATCAAAGGTTTGCCAAGTCATAAATTCAAGAACCAAGACAAAATCAACATAACTAGAATAGCATACGCTTATGTGGATGTTTCCCTGCCAATCTAGGACAATCTAAAATGTTTTTGAAAGCAAGATTATTTCATGTTATTTCATATCATTTAGTCCAAACTTTCAAAATAGAGTTTTATGGCATCATTTTTAGGCACTAACTTGTAACGATATAAAATTTAAGGATCAAAGAGGATTAAGAAGATGCTCTCATCCTAAAAAAATGATAACGATATCCATTGCCTAAAATATCCAGCTAGTTTCATTCCCCCTTTCATAATCAGAGATTTTTTATTTTTGCCACTGAAAAAGTTCAAACGGAAGGACTTCTAAGTGTCCGAAAAGTCTCATTTCAAGGGGCTTGCCTTACAAAGGGCTGGCTGAAATGGCCCTCGAATACAAATTGCATTATGTCGATCTTTAACCAACTGTTCTACATGGAATTTTCGTTATTTCTCACGAGGACATGAACGTTGAAAAATTAGCCATCCATACCTCATTTTTATCGTGCTCTGTGTGAAATGGGTCTTTTTCCTGTAAAGCGGATAGAAAAATGATTTTAACTCAAATTCAAAGATAAGATAAAGCCAATTTGAGTACATAATTATCGATCCAAAGAAGCAAGGTGGTAATTTTATTGAAATACTTACATGGAAGGGGTCACCTGCGAATGGATCCCCTGCGAATGAGACTGTTTTGAATGGATCCTGTTTGAATGGGTCTTCTGTATGAAATGGATCTGCGTTTTCTAGAAACAAAAACCTTCTTATGTCACGGCGATTACTGGCGGTGAAAGACATTAGAAATACGGGCTTTTCTCTCCATTTTGGAGGTCTTTCAAAAATGTGTCTAAACACAAGATCAAGGACACATTCTTTAAAGACCTCCAAAATCAAGAAAACAGCCTCTTTGTATAATACTAAACTTCCAAAAACTTCAAACATAACAAGCACGATACTTTTTGATTTTGATACTGAAAATATATTTTATTTTCTCTCAAGAAAACTCTTTTTTCGATAACACCTCTGGAGGAACCATTATGGAAACAAGGTCGTACTGACCTTCTTATACAATTCTTGCATTTCTAGCTTGGGGTGTTTTTAAACTTGTTTTTTTTAGTTATTATAACATATTGCACATATGTGATAAGCCCTCTTTTTTGTAAAGTTTTAATATATAAAGTTCAAATATATGTTTAATATATATTCAATTTTAAGTATATATGGCAGAGTTTTACATACACTACATACATGTTATTCTTATCATCTAAGATATTCCTTGAGAACTGGACGATAAGAGCTATCAAAATGTGGCACCTTATTACAACAGTCAATTGAAGGTTATTCCTTGAGAACTAGATCTTGAATTGAGAACTAGAATTGAAGGTGTCTAAGGGCGCACCCATGATGCAAAACGAAGTTTAATATGATATTGACAAGCAGGGCAGAATCATTCACAATTCAAATCATTATCAAAATACTAGTCCTTAAATATGGCTTTGAAAAAAGGAAACATTTCAAGATATACTAAAGTTTATTCCTTGAGCTATCATAAGAGCTATCAAAATGTGGCACCTTAAACAGTCAATTGAAGGTTATTCCTTGAGAACTGAACGATAAGAGCTATCAAAATGTGGCACCTTACAACAGTCAATTGAAGGTTATAAGAGTTCAGTTAAAACTCATGTGCGAAATAAAAATAAACGGATCGTGAAAAACTGAAAGGCATACTATAAGTATTAAAAGAATGAAAGGCATGCTGGGATCCGTCTTTCCCTGGGATGGCACATAACAACGGATTCTTGTATCATACCTTATTTCCTCAAAAAGATTTTTTGTGAAAAATCAATCAATACTGTCATTAATATTGCTGGAATATCGAACACAAAATATCAGCAAATGTAACACTGTATTTTACGACCGACTGCATGATTTTCTTGAGAAGAATCGCTACGAAATGTTTTTGGCAGCAATGTGTATCGTTTTCTTACCTGATTCATTGCCACTGAATACATCCGACTTCGGTTTAAAAGGATCTTGATCCTAACAAACAGAATTATACACAATATGTACAAATTTTCGTTATTACTGCTGTTGCTACACCAAGGAAATATTTGTTTCAAAACGTCTTCAAAAATGCTGAATGATATAGTTTCTGTTGTATGCGCCCTGACTAGACATTGCATTAAAGATATTTTCAACAAGAGCAAAAGAATATCATCTATCCACTTTGAATAAGGCCTGATAATAACAGTTTGCAAATAATAAAGGCAATCTTAATAAACATCTGCATTCTTAGCAGCACATCTTAATGCGTACAAAACCCATTGCAGAAACTTATCGCAGCATTCCCTATCCTTTTCTAACACAATTTAATTTTCACGATTCTATTATGTAATGAGGTACCAAAATAGATTACATCTTGACAAAATTACTTGATACTTGTATAAAAGACTGTTAATATTGACATTTAAGATTTCAATTTAACTAAAAGTTGACGAGAAATATGTTTTGTATACAAAAAAATATTTTTAGTGTCGTTCAAGAACCTTGAAATCCTCATCATTGGCATCATCAACCCGGCCTGACCCGGAACCAACGCTGAAACCGCTTATACTGCTAACCGGGCTGCTACCGGCCTAGAGGTAAACAGTCAGGGCGTTAAAACCAGTGCTAATGCAATCAACGATAGTGCCATTGTGTCTAAGGGCGCACCCGTGATGCAAAACGGTTTAATATAATATTTAATATAATATTGACAAACAGGACAGAATCATTCACAATTCGAATCATTATCAAAATACTATTCTTTAAATATGGCTTTGAAAAAAGAAAACATTTCAAGTTATACTAAAGTTTTCGCCTGACATTCTTCACAGTAAAATACGACAGAAAATTGTTAAAAAATTATACTAATTTTCAATCGCCACCAATTTGATAAGCCTTTTATAAAGAATGTAGTTTGACAGACAAAGATTTTTAAAAATATCAATAATAATAGAGAGATTCAAAGGAAAAGTATCTCTTAACGTTGGATGTTTGACCAAATGTGGAAAACAAACTTACAACGAGCTCAAAGAAACTAACTCAATAAACAACCTTCATTCTTTTCGAATATAAAAACAGGTAAACTGTATATCAGTATTTCTTATGCAAAGGTTTGCAATAATTATAAGACAGGGATCATTATTTAGCAAGCATTAGTTTCCAAGTCACTTACAGTTGCTCTGGCACTGATCTGATCCACATCGGAATGGGCGAATGTTGCTTCGAGGTTCTCCGGCAAAGCACTCAGGCCTTCGCCGATTGGAACAGGGGTACTAGAGGCACTATTTGATGAAATGCTATTGGTCATTGAAGAGAATTGGTTGATAGACGCATTCACGGTTTGATTTTCTTCTGTTAGCTTGGATACCTTCGTTTTCATCTAAGTAAAAAGGGGGTTATATCAAACACGTGTTCTACAAAGGGAGACTTACAGGGCTATTTAATTTATGCCTATAAAAGCCATTAAAGTGTGATCCGTTGTAACTGAAATGCACCAAAGCTTCCATAATTTCTCAAGAAAACGAGTTACTTATTTAAAAAAATCTAATGAAACTCAATTTTGGTGGCCTTCTTTATTACCAAAATCTCAATAATTTCAAATAAAATTACAATTTAAAAATACTGTCTGCTTTCTACTAGATCTACATACATGAATAACCATTATAAGGCCGCTTCTTCCGAATTCTCTAAATACGATAATAATTTAGATGCATGCTACAAGGAAGAATCTGGTCTGCTATTGAGAGAAGCTTGTGTGCCCATGATAGGAAGCTCTTGAAAAGGAATTTCCCAACAATAAGTACCTACGACTAGGCCTGATGGAAAATTTATCTCTTGACGTTATCAGGAAAATACCATACCTGGTATACTTCATTTTTGGTTGTTGCAAGTGTTTTTTTAATTTGCTCTAACTGCGTTTTTCCTGCTTGCACCTGTAAGACAAGATGCAATTATGGCATGACATTTAAAGAAATTCTTGTAGATATCCTAGACCAATGGGAGCCTATTCTATATTCAGTGGTCGTCAAAATCTTCTCAGTTCGTTATTCTGCCACAAAACTAAGGACAGGGCTGAATCTTAGATCTTTGAGAACTGTGGCATTTCGTTCCCATGTGCCATATTTAGATTAACTCTAGCCATTACGAGCACAAGATACAAGTTGGCTAAGATGTAACATTTGGATGGGAGTCTGTTAGTTATAGCTTAGTCAAAATTCTAAACAATGGCCATGGAAAACGAGATTTATAACCTTTTTCCTTTTGAAAGTCCAAGCACAAAGGGATGGATATGCCTATCAAATCGCCAAAATGGATTTCGAATCAAGAAATACTTTAAGGAAATTCTTTACAGGAGTGATCATAAGCAACACGACCATCCATTATTCTTATGGGTTATATTTTCAAATTGAAGTTCGTTTCAAATCAAAAGAGAAACAAAGGAGAAAAAACAATGTAAGAAAAAAGCAAAATGTCTCTGAAACTCACCTGCTGCTCTAGCTTTGACTCCTCTTCCCTGAGTTCATTCAGCTCCTTTCGAGCAGTAACAAATTCCTCTTCTTGGTTCTACAAAATAATTACGAGACTCAGTATCATTATAAGCGAATATGACAAGAATAATGCCCATATTGCTGTGAGGAAAACTATCAGGCAAGTCTATAAATCGCATACAGTGGAACCTCAAATAGCGGCCACTTTCAGAGACCAAGTTAGTGGTCGTTGTTTTAGAGGCGACCGCTATGAGAGGTATTTTCATATATTCTTCATAATATCATTATCAAAAAAGGCTGGTCGGAAGAAGGGGGTGGGGTGATTAAAGCGATTTTCCATTGACAGTGAGTAACTAATTAACAACAAGAAACAATGATTACTTTCTTCATATTAAACTATAAACAAGATGCATTTGTAAGTTTATGACCTCGCCAGAAAATTGAAAAACTAATGGTTTTTCAAAAACATCATAATTTCTAAATAAAAATGTTTTTTTGTATTTTTCCTCCACTTCTTTGCAAAAGGTTGCCTGCTTGACTATTAATGCAGATAACAATTAGGGATTGGACAATCCGACGTGGCCATTTGGCCGTTGATTGGAAGTGACCGCAGTGCGGAGGAGTTTGACCATAACTTCGGACTTTCTCCACTGGCCGCAGATCAGGACGAGGTTTCACGGTATTCGCGTTACTTAAAACATACATGTTAAACTTATAATTTCATTTTCTTTAATTTGATCATCAACGGATTCAATTGTTAACGACTACAAAAAACAACGATTTATGTTCCTTTAGTTATTTAAAGGAAATTGTGAATGTTAAATAAGTAAACAGCTCGATTCTTTTGATTGATCTCATTAGAGATTCTTTCTTTTAATCTTCGCAATTTAGGATAATCAAAACTATTGGTGTTCGAAAAAAATGAGAAGGGCAAATACCAAAGTAAGTAAAGAAAGCTTTGAAAGGAAAGAGATTATCAAGAAGAACATCATACAAAATCAATGTAAACAAAAGCATGAAAACCGCCAATACCTTAAGAATGGATTCCTGAGATGAAATCTGATCTTTCAGGTTTGCTAGCTGAAAAACGACAAACAGTTATTTTCGAAGATAACGTAGCTAGATTCAAAGATTCAAAGTTGGCTGAATGAAACATATTCATTCATCAGATTCAAAATGGTCAACGATAGCTGATCGAGAGATTGAATTTTGGGATGAAACTAAGTGAAAAAGCAGCGCTTGTTTCGTGACCAAGACGCATTGCTGTCTCTAACATCATTAATGCTACTTGAGTTTGGCGATATGGTGTGAAATATCTTAAACTTTATAGAGTGCAATATGTGGAGTAAGCAACGCCATATTCATGTTGTTTTCCCACCGTCTAAGTACCAACTAGGTCCCTCAAATACATTGTTACAAACAACTCCGACAATGGAAATCATTTTCTCTCTGATAATCAATAATGCGCTCATTTCTACATCATTTCCCTGTCTCATTCACTAACTGATAATCGCTTGCAGCCCCTCTAATTGCCACCGCAGAAACATCTGATGTTTTTCATCACCAATTTTTATCATTATTCTATCAATAAAGTTATAAAAGTTAGTAAAATAATATTGAATACCACTGATTGGCATTAGAATATAAAGTACAATGTTATAATCACTTACTATTTGCTTTTCATCCTCGTATGCTTGCCGGAGAACCTCTAGCAACCCGTCGTTTTTCTCTTTCTATTATAAACAAATTACATAAGAGTGCTTTAAACCTTCAGATAAACCCAATGATAAAATTTTGAAAAGTTGACTATAAAGCAACGAGACACAGAAATTGCAAAGAAGCGGGCTCCTGGTAGCTTAACCACTGAGGAAAACTTGTATCAATCGCCATTGATATAAACAGCAAATGCCGGGTAAAAGAGATTAGCATAAAACCTAAAGCCAGCCAAAAGAAAAGAGCGAAAAACGGAACAAAGTATCATTTGTTCTTTCTAATATTGGACATATGAAAAACTGCCCAGAAGGAACGAATTACTCTAAAGACAGACAAAGATATTTTGATCGTGTATTTAGATTCAATGAGATCTGGAATGTGTGATACGAGCAATAATGTAAATTTTTCATTTTTGTGCTGAATTTAAACGAGGATCGTAACAAATTCGTAATACTGAGGACCAACTTAAAAAGGAAACAGTCCCTTCGAAGAAACAATGAAAGAAAAACAAAATTGCGGTCTAAAATAGGGTAAGAATAAGATAAACAACCTCTTTATCCAGGCTGGCGAGACTCTCCGAAGCCTCATACTTCTGTAGCTGCAATTCCTTGTTAGCTTTCTCTGTTTTTGCAATCTCACCTTGCAAATCCTGTGATGAAAAGTCAGCTAAAATTATCAAAAAAATAACTTATGAACACAGTTTGCTATGATATTGCTGAAGTGAAAAATTGATTTACATTTTTGATGGCATCTGGAACGTACTCAACATCTTTATAACGTGAAAGACATTGACTGGACACCTTCATTGATAATAAAATTATCATTAAACATAGAAAGTGCAGTGACAGAGATCGAAATTACACACGTTTCCAAAATACATCACTTCTGCATTCATCGGCAATTCGAACACAGTCTTTTTAATCGTCTTACATACTTCAAGGTGATTTTGGCAAGAATGAGAAGCAGATAAACTTGGTATAAAATTTACGCTAATTTGGGTCATGCTCTGTTTCAGATTTTATTCAATCCATGTTTCAAAAAAGGGAATACTGATAAACCTAAGAATTCATCGTGTTTATAAATTTGTTTGTCAAAGAAATTTTTGACCGTTGGAAATTTGGTCACAGGGAAACAAAAACAGCTGCAGAAAGGTTGTTATACCCCTGATTACCATTTTCAAACATAAATTTCATTGTACAAAGATGACAACAGGAGACTTCTAATAAAGAAAATTTAACAGAGCAAAAGTAACTCCCAAGCAAGTAATCCACTTGCAGACATGCATAGAAAAATCCCTCAATTTTCAATCTTAAGAAAACGTGCAAGTAATAAATTATTAGACTATTAAAAGGAGTCTTAGATTGCGTCAAGTGTTGTTGGAATGTCAATCAAAAGGGAAGCTCTAACTGAGGCTACGACATCGACAAAACCTTCCCAAAACAGAATATATGGAACAAAATAGGCTTAAGATGCCATGATTCTTACCTCGATCTCTGTTTTTCTTTTTCTAATGTTGTCTTCTGTTTGCTCGATTTCTTGTTGTAGAGCAATTTTCTCCCTGTAACCAAAATGATGGATACGCAGGTTGTAAAGCGAGTCAATAACAGAAATAAGAAATGTTACCAACATTTCGATCAATTTAGTTAGCCAAATATTTTAGTGGCATCACATAAATTCAATCTGAGCATAGTGAAAGAAAATGTCAATTCCACGGCCTAAGAAGATTAACAGATGGCGCGCATTGTACTAAGAAAGTGTCTTGGATTACTTCAAGCAATGGAGGATTATCTCGGGCTTTGATCGAATTTACTTTAGTCTGGCTTTTCAAAGACTTTAACGCTGATTAAAAGATTACGAAGCAAGAGGTGGGGAATTTATGTGTAAGCGTCTGTAAAAGCAATTGTTAGGAAGCCACAAATAGCAAACATCTTACTTCGAGATAGGGGTTCATTGAGAATCTATTTAGGATTCTCGCTTTTAAGGAGAAATACTTTAGTTTGAGGCCCCCTGATAAAGGCAACATTAACATTGCAGTGAAGTAAACGAGAGGAATGTTGTATTTAGCAAATTGCTCAAGACGTTTTGGTAAAATGGAGAGAGCTCGAAATAAAGAATACTAAAGGCAAAGATTACAAGAGAAATTTTGAAATGGTATAAAATAAATCTGCAAGTGACGTCCAGATGGAGGAAATGCGAAACATCAATCTAGGCCATAGAAAAGGAAAGGGTTAAAGAAAGGAGATACCAAGAGCCATACAAAAAAGGCAAGTGAACTGACATAATCTTATATTCGAATTCGGTTTCTTTAAAACCCAAAACTGCCGAAGTCGTTTTAATCTACACTCAATTTGTTATAGGTTATGTTTGTTCTGGTAAACGTAAATCAGAACAGAGCAAAAACATTTTGATCAAAACATAAACAAAACTACTTTGATTTTTGCCCACTTAAAAGCTTTGAAAAGGGAGCTGTATTAATGCTATGGCATACCAATAGCTAGCACCTCTCCGCAGGAGGTTATGCTTTCCCTTAACGTTCAGAAAAATAACTTGACTGTTACATATTTGACCCCCAAAGTTTGCGTCTCAAAACCAACATTTGTTTGGCAGAAAATATATTTTTGAATACTGAAAAATTACTGGCATCCTTTAATCGTAGTAGTTTAACTGGCTTTCATTTTTGCAAGCATAACCGCTTGGAATTACATCAGCCCAGAGCCTCGAGGTAACTTGTCTCCTTTGCCCTTTTCTCTCAGAACCGTCTAAAGCACCTGTTCCTCCTCCTCAGTATCACTTTTTCTCACCACATTCGATTCTTGGCTGTAATTCATTTTTGACCCTCCTGCCCAGTGCCTCTCTTTCCCATTGCCTTCTGTCCATCCGTTTCCCCTTCCATGTTGTCCCTCCTGCCCAGTGCCTCTTTTCCCATTGCCTTTTGTCCATCTGTTTCCCCTTCCATGTTGTCCCTCTTGCACAGTGCCTCTCTTTCCCATTGCGTTCTTTCCAAACATTTCCCCTTCCGTCTTGTCCCTCCTGCCAAGGGCCTCTCTTTCCCATTGCCTTCTTTCCACACGTTTCCCCTTCCGTCTTGTCCCTCCTGCCCAGTGCCTCTCCCATTGCCTTCTTTCCATCCGTTTCCCCTTTCATCTTGTCCCTCCTGCCAAGGGCCTCTCTTTCCCATTGCCTTCTTTCCACACATTTGCCCTTCCGTCTTGTCCCTCCTGCCAAGGGCCTCTCTTTCCTATTGCCTTCTTTCCATCCGTTTCTCCTTTCATCTTGTCCCTTCTGCACAGTGCCTCTCTTTCTTATTGCCTTCTGTCCATCTGTTTCCCCTTCCATGTTGTACCTCTTGCACAGTGCCTCTCTTTCCCATTGCCTTCTGTACGTCTGTTTCCCCTTCCATGTTGTCCCGCTTGCACAGTGCCTCTCTTTCCCATTGCGTATTTTCCACACATTTCCCCTTCCGTCTTGTCCCTCCTGCCAAGGGCCTCTCTTTCCCATTGCCTTCTTTCCACACGTTTCCCCTTCCGTCTTGTCCCTCCTGCCCAGTGCCTCTCTTTCCCATTGCCTTCTGTCCATCTGTTTCCCCTTCCATGTTGTCCCTCTTGCACAGTGCCTCTCTTTCCCATTGCGTTATTTCCACACATTTCCCCTTCCGTCTTGTCCCTCCTGCCAAGGGCCTCTCTTTCCTATTGTCTTTTTCCACCCGCTTCCCCTTCCATGTTGTCCTTCCTGCCCAGTGCCTCTCTTTACCATTGCCTTCTTTCCACCCGTTTCCTGTCCATCTTGTCCCTCCTGCCAGGGGCCTCTCTTCCTATTGCCTTCCTTTCACCTGTTCTTTCCCTTAGTCTCCCCTGCACCTTTTCCATTGACTGCCCTTTCTCTTTTCTAAACTTTGCATTTATGTCACTTGCATTTATGTCTTTTCTAAACTTTGCATTTATGTCACTGAATGAGATGAATTTGATATGAAATACTAGTTTTCCGGCTACCATTACTGCCCTTTTTAGGCTAGGAGCCAGTTGTTCAGTCTCATTAGAGTAAGGCACAAAATCAAGGAAGACGCGTTCGAGATAATGCAATCAAGAGCCACAAAACATCAAGATAAAGGATCAGATAAACGTAATCGAAAAATTTGGGTCAAACATTTTCAGTGGTTTGGGTCACAAATACCAGGACATTTAATCTGCGAGTTAACTCAAAAATCTGATTAAAATCACAAATGCTACTAAGATCATGACAAATATTACAAAGCACGACATAATACTTCCTGAAAAAACATTTATTTTAGAAGAAAGTCAATTATCCTGCTTTCGGTGTCGTCAGCTGTATCTTAGTTCCAAACATTTAGATCCAACATATTTGAAACAAGAAATTTCTGAAAAAAAATTATTCCCACCCAACACCAAAACACAAAAACTGAGAAATAATTCAATTAAAAAATGACCGAGAAACGAGCTTTCGTCCACAATCCAAATATTTCGTAACAAAAATATTTTTAAGAAAAAAGTTTGCACGCAGCGTGGAAATTACAATGAAGATGTTTGGATCTAATTCTAAAAAAATGCTGTCTGCCAGTTTTTTGCCTTCCTTACTTTTAAATGCTTTATAATTATTTAGATATTTTATTAGCTATTTAAAATAGCTGCAAAGAGCGAGTTGTTTATGAAGACGGAAGCAAATGATTTTCTGCAGTATTCAAGTATAGGCATATATTTTGGTCATATGAAGATCGCTGTCAACCCAACAGAGTTGTCAAGTGATGACGTCACAAAAATCTATTTTTAGAATTTTTTTCCATAACCTGAAAGAGCATTATGAAATACCTCTAAATCTGCAAAATCAGTTGAAGGTATTACGAATTGGTTGAGATATGTCCCGGTGTGCACAAGCTCTGGCCCCATCAAACCTCTGTAATTTGGTCTCAGTTCATAACTTTATAAACTGAGCCAAAATAACAGTAATCCGTTAGCAAACTCCAGATCTGTTATTGCCATAGCTCACCCAATTTTTGATAAAGTTAACTGATTTTGCACAAATGGTAGTATTTCATGGGGTTCTAAAAATAATTTTTTTGTGACGTCACACTTGAGAACTCTAGAGTTCTACACTACGCGTTGCTTTATAGACGGAATTGTAGATACCTTGTGTGCAAAAAAGCAGGGTTCTAAGTTCATTGTTTATGTCAGGCTCAAGTCGTAAAATTGCTTGAAACTAAAACTTGCAATTCAGAAACGTCATTTACAAAGCGTGAGTAACAAAGCTCAACAGCCTTGAAACATTTTCATAAAGTCACGCTAGTTGAAAACAGACTTTTTCTGAGATGATGCCAATTGATTAGTTTGCAGGAAATATCAGTCAGTAAATTTTAACTTATAACCTCAAATAACATCACCGTATGAAGCCCTGGAAATAACGGTTTCAACAACTCAACCAGGACGATATCTCCAGTAAACATGAAACTTGAGGTTTCAATATTACACGCATCCATTTCAAGGCGTTGATCAAATTCTTTGCTGGTGTTTAGAAGCAATGAAGAGATTAGGAGTTCAACTTACCGGCCAAGTTTTTCGATCTCTTGGCTTATCTGATCCAACTCCTTGATAGCGGCAAAATCTTTCGCTTGCAATGCAGCAAGATTTGAAGACAATGACGTCATGTCCTATAGGTAGATTTTTTATGATTTAAAACATGAACAACCGTATTTGAAAGACTGACGCTTAGGAGCAGCACTGATAGTCCTTGTTTGATGTTAACATCATATTGAAAGCATAACAAAAATAATTAGCGTACTTACGTCCTTTTCTCTCATCGAAGGCGGGATCATTTCTTGAGTTAGCTGATTCGGCGGGTCCACACCGTTTCGCTAAAATGATAGACAAAGTGTTAGAAAGACACTTAGTAATACAGCATTTGTGTGGCAGGTGCAGCATGCATTCGTGCAAGGTGTCGTCTAATTGGCTTTCAAATTTGTCTTCTCCGTTTTCAATTTTCAAAGCATTAAAAACGAAAAGGCGTTGCAGGGAAAGAAAAAGTGTTGCAGGGAAAGGAGAAGATTATTTCGATCAGGAAAATATGAAAAGGATGAAAAAACATTAATTTACTCCTAGTGTTAGACAATCATTTCACCACTAGTAATGTTTACGACATACTAAAAGCTTTTTCGTCTGACACTCCTCAGAGCATAAAACGTCAGAATAAGGTTCCGAAAGAACACGATGGAAAATATATACCCAGTTGTGGATCGAATTTTTTTTTTTCAAAGCCATTTTCAAATTCTGTACCGCAAAAAAATTGTTCAAATTAATGTTTACTTAGAACTCAAATGGCAAAATAGAAGCTTCTAAAAAACAACAAAAATAAACACAGGCAATCTTAATTTTCGAAATTTACGTTCAGTAATACTGAACGTTTTCTGCATGCCTGTTGTTTCTTTTCCGCTGTTGCTTTTAGTCAGCAATGGATAAATAAAATGATGCTTCTTCTAGTTCGTTTACCCTAGCAAAAAATAATGATCACTATTCTTAGTCTCGTGGCTTTGAGCTGTATCTTAAGAGATCAGTGTTTCTATTCAAAGTTCCATGCGATATGCGACTATCACCTGCTTTAGAATCTAAAATAATCCATTTGCATGAAATCAAATAATCTTTTGAGATTAAAAATCGCGGTACAGTAACAGCTGTCAAAAATACCTTTTTGGCAATAAGATGCATGGCAAGGGCAAATTGTTCTGCATTCAACAAGCCAGCATTCTTGGTATCGCACAATCCCCTAGAAGCAGAAGGCTGATTCTCAGAAAGGCGAACTGATTCAAGACGGCGAACAGGAAAACAATGGGAAAAAATGCGTAAATTTCACTCTGAGGACTTATTTCGCCTCACTGTGCACATTGACAAGTGATGTTAAAAACTCAAAACATTATCAAATCCATTAAATCCGGCAAAAATAATACTGAAATTTTAGAATAATGGAACTTTGGTAATAAAAAGAAGAGAAATTAATTACCATATATGAGCTAAAACTTGCTGCGGGAGTCCAGATGCAATAAATATATTTTTCACCTCAGGGCCTAAAACACAAACAAATTTGGCATGATGCACGATTAAGTCAAATGAAACTTTGCATATCCTAGGGTATATCCTAGCTAACTGACAATTATTAAAATATACAGGATGCTTTGATATGCAGCGCATTGTTACCGCTGGAGTCTCCCTATTTTAATTTCAGTTTACGAATCTAGGCCACATTCATGAACATAAACAAAGCTTTGATGTCTAATCAATGTTGAAAACGAAAATAAAATAGTTGCAAGGAAAATTAGAGGAGAAATGTATCACATCGTGTTAGGCTTACTGAACTGTTAAATCAATCAACTTAAACTTTTGCTTTTAAGACTTTAAATGCTACATAAAACATGAGTTTCCTGTATGTCACAAAGAAGAATGCGTAGCTAGCATTAGGCAAAAACTCCTTGGGTGATCTGCAGTCCTGAAAGTTGCTTGTTAATCAGACAAGTGTTGAACGGAAGGGAGCCTCATACTAGTGGCCTAACGTAGTATAGAATACCACAGTTCTATAACTAACCCCTGATCGAAAGGATTCCCAAGACTTAAATATCCTAGTTTTTAAAAATTTGCTCAAGTTAACAAACGTTTTAACTTATTTATCTGAAGCATGCAATTTCGCCTCTTCAGTTAACGAGAAAATTATCATTCCATCCTGCTGTTCTCTTTAATAAGATAAACATCATTAGATGGGACCTTCTTGCAGGACGTAGATAGAGTTCCCGTTTCAGCTTTGCACATTGTTGATCGTTTTATAAAGAAGATTGTTCAAAATGCCTCACACTATAATTAGTGATGAGCATTGGAGCAGTTATCTGATTTGTGATCGCAAATTTTAATAATAACAAGGTTGATATAACAAGAAATATTTACGTGATATTATGTAATATCATGCTAGTTATATGTAATATTTAGAATTACCAGCTTCTCAAAATGCTTCCTTGAAAAATTGAGACAAGTTGACTCTGGGGCAAGGGATGTGGAAACGTTCTATGGTAACAGAAAAAAGAAAACTGATTTAACATACCCGAAACCAATCCGTCTTTGTTTGTATCAGCCTGAGCAAACATACCATCAAATTTCGATTTTTCAGCCGCGGTAACGACCCAAGTCTTCCCGGCCACTACAGGAGCCTGTGGTCAATAACAAAGAGTGGATTTAAATAATGTCTTGATCTATCCCTTGATCTACCCCTTAGTCTTAGATTCGGCAGAATTCTTTCAGAAAAAAGCAAAAAGACCTAGGGAAACTATTAGCAATGGTCACGAATAAAGCACAATAGAGCTACAGGGTCTAACATCATCAACTTTAGAAAGAGGCTTATCTCAAGAACCTTCTGTCATCTTAGCATCTTTTGGTCCAAACAGTTAAGACTAACATAAAATAAACTGTGACATTCTGTAACAGGCCTAATTGCTCCTTTATTGGTAGTTAATTTTTTGAGGTGCTTAACTGGAAAAAATCGGCCTAGAGGCTCTTTATGCATGTTTTTACTGTAGCTGGGGCAATCATACTTTTATTAATTGGCAAGAAAAACCAAAACCTGATCAGTACACTTAAGGTTAAACTTATAAACAGAAAACCATATACAGAAAGGCATTGTTTTTTTTTCAGGAGTACCATAGAAATAGAACTTCAGCATGATTCTATATTTGTTCCTTGCTAACACCTTTTCAAATTTTGTGATTACGAAAGGCTCCATGTCCCTCATCTCTGCCGGAAGATAATAACTTACAAGCCTCTATACCAAACAGAATTTTAATTAGTTCGAGGTACCTTGTTTTCCTGGTTCCTTACCTGATTCAAATTTATATTTCTTCAAATGCTGCGAGGCTCGAACAGTGGGTTCGAGCCGGTACGTGTCTGTGGCGAGAGGACAACAGTTTATCCATCACGCCACAGGAGCGACTTATACTATTCAGAACTACATTATATATTCTCTAACAAAGGAAAGCCTCATTAAAATGAAACGTATAGAAAAAGTTACTGACCGATGATATGCTTGAGGTCCTTGGACTATAACTTCCTGATGACATTGACGATACCACAGCTGCTTGAGATGCAACCGCCCTCTTGGAAGGAGGTACAAGTCCGGATGCAAGAACAGTCGGAACAGATTCTCCATCAAGTGCCCGGTAAACCAGATGCATTGCCTAGAATACGTCACTCATTTAAAAAAACGTATAGTCAATCACATCTGTTTAAAAAGCATTTGCAGCAAACATGTGTTCTTCTACGAATAGCTTAAGTATATCGCTACAAAAAAGAAATATTTTAGCAATCCTATTAAAAATTAACGGTACAACAGCATATCCTTCGTTGAGTCAGACGATTCAAAAATTTCTCCAGAAGACACATGGTTAAAAAAAACAGAGTCCAATGCAGGTTGGACCAAAATAAGTTAACTGTTGAACAAAAATTACAAAAACAATACAAAGCACAAAACTTAATGCTAAAAATGTATAACTTATACCGACTGAAAACCTACAATCGGACAGACGGTGTTTAACAACAAAGCTTTTGTTTGAAGGCTTTTTCTAGGGTTTGTTTAAGGTTTTTGCTTTAAGGTTTTCTGTTACGCTTTTGTTTCAAGAACTTTTCCAAAAAGTAGATTTTCTATTTGACGAAACATGAAAAGATGTACGAAGCAATTAAAACAACAAAACAAATTTTAAAAAAAGTCACGAAGGAAACTTACAACTGCAAACTCGTCTTTATCTAACATTCCGTCTTTATCGATGTCGGCCATTGCCCAAACCTGATGAAGGACCAAACTTTCATTAACAATAACATACGCAGCCATTACACATTTTAAGAAAGGACATAAGAAACTCTCGACATCTTATACAAATAAATCCTTGATGAATTGAATATGATACAGTGCGGACCGAAAATATCTTCAATGATACAAAAAGCCAAAGGCAGCTTTAATACACGTATATGTAAAAGAACTTTTCGACCTATAGGCCGATTTCCATTTGACATTTTTTGTGCGCTTTTGCGTCCGCTGTGGGTCTCAACTTTCTGGCGCTCACAGCGGACGCAAAATCGAGACCACTTGCTTTTAACTACGCATGCTCAGATTTGGGCGCTACGCCCGCGCGCACAAAAAAGGTCAAGTGGAAATCGGCCTTACGGGGCATAAGACACCGCCTCGATCTTCGATTATAAACAACTGAATTAAAGCAAGTTAAACATATAAGCTTGACAAAATCTCAAACTGAGTACTCACCCTTCCAAGAACATCAACTGGCAATTTTGAGTTCATCAACACCTACGTTTTAAAAATCACATAAAAAATGATACAATTATACATATGAATGAATTATAATGTATAATTGAATTATAAATTGGATAACAAAAGTGGAAGGTTTTAAAGGTTTCTATTTCTCTCGTGTCAAAAACTGGAATGATATCCCTAACAACATTCGAGAAAAAAAATCCATCGCTCGTTTTAAAACAGGTTTTAGAGAGTATCTTTCGAACCTTCCACAGGACCCAAACACGACCCCTTGGTAGAGAAGCAGTTCGCATTATTTTATTCTATTTATCTATTTTTATTATTATTTTTTATTTTTTTTCTCTTATTATTTTTAAACAAATATTGTAAATATTGTATTGGAACATTTTGAGTATCATTATACGATTAAGGTACTGCATACCACAGCCCAATATCGCGAGATAGCATGTGCTCTGCATAGGCAAAGTTATAGGATAAAATAAATATCGTGAATTGAAGAAAAAACCAACTCGAAAAGGTACCAGAGTTCAGTATACTGGAAGCACAGCGATAAAAAAAGTGAAAATGGGGGAATCTCTAGCTTTCTTTTAGAGAATCATTTTCAGTTGATATTTTAATTTTGATGTAATTTTAGAATGTTTACTTTAAAAAATCAATATATTCTTTGCTGCAATAAGTTTCTGAACATAGAAAACCGCATTCCCGAAAAGTTTCTAGTCTGGAGGAAAAAATTTAACCAAGACAAAATTATACCAATAAATTTAGCTCAAGGAAGGAATATAGTCATTTTCTTTGCGAAATCACTGAAAAATGAAAATAAAGGAAAATAAAGTATAAAGGAAAATTCATCTAAATTATCTACTTCTGTAAGAAGGGATAGTGACCTTATATGTGTGCAAAGAGCCTAGAAACTTCTTCCACATACTCAGAAAGATTTAAGTTCTCAGTATAAGATGAACATGCTCGCTTTCTTTGATTATTACAGCGGAGATGAATTTTCTTAAAACTGTCAATTACATTGCAAAGCCAGACTAGATTGAGAATTTTTAGATAGATTAGAACTGTGAAGTACTTGGTGCTCAATGTCTGCGGAATTATGCACTACAGCACTTTTATCCGGGAGGTAACTGTGTATTCAATAGGATTCCGGAAAAGAAACAGCTCGTTTACAGCCAAAAATCTAAAATTATACTTAACAAGCCTGAAGTTATAAGTTCAGTCGGCAAATACTTTCCTCCCTTTCCATTAGCCTATTCAGTGCCTGCTTAGTTGGACAAAAAGCTCCTGCCTGAATTGCATTTTTAGCATGGATTCGAACCAACAGCATTAAGCATTGCAGTCAGTCTATGGCCTAGTGCCCTTATCATATGGCAAATTAGCTGCATGGGATCTTAATAATATAAGAAGTTAAATTCAGGCCACTCACCGGTCGCACTTTGTCTCCAGAAACATACCCATTGACAGGCTGCAGTGTCTGTGACGTAGAAAAAAAGTCATTGCTATTGAAGCACCTCTTTCATCGCATTTACAAGGAGTGAACTGATTTTGTCACATGATAGATAATCATCATAAAAATTCGAAAAGGGGGTTGAAAAATAAATCTCCCAGGTGTGATCCAATCTGTACTTATTTCTTCACGTTCTTCATCTGCTTTAAATTACATTCTTCATTCATAAAGTCGTGTTCATTTTATCGCATTCTACATTTTCTGTCAGAGAATTGCCTTACAATAGAACTCAAATACAGCCCTCTGAACCTCTCTAACTCTAAATATTTTCAAAAGGATCCTTTCTCTTTATCTATATCATATATTCTATCCTAAATATGGAGACAGAATTGGAATCATGTAGGATAAAACTATCTAACAAAGGATGTTTAGCAACATGTGCAATGCAAAAAGGGGCCTTAGATGTAAGCAATAATTAGGGGTGTCTTCTTAAAAAAATACACAAAAAATATACATAAAATTACACATGTTTAAAACTCATTACTGTAAGAAATCATAAAGCCAATGTTTTTCATACCTCGAAAATTCCGTCATACTTCTGCTTCTCAGCTTGCTGAAAAGGCAGAAATTTATTGCATTACAAATCTATAAAGGTGCTGAACATACATCGACAGCTGCTCGCAAACAGCTACAAGTATCCGATTCTTTGAAGTTATGACGTATTTGGAAAATCGATATTAGCCAAAGAATTAATTATCACCGTTTTTAATGATCCCGTGAAATGAAAAACCTAATAAAATTAAAAAATACCCGATGCAAGTCATTTGTGTATGACTTTGTTAACGGAAAGTGCATCCGCAGTAAGTTGAATGGTAGATCTGACTGACGCAATAATTCACTTGATTTCAATCCAGGAACAAACTTTGAACTAAACTTTTTACGCCATGTAAACCAAGGAAACTAATCAAAGAATCGATGTAAAACGAAATTTTAGAAGTTTCAATATGCTTTTGCATTAATACATTTCGAGCCACCAAAAGACATGCGCAGTTAGTTTGCTTAATTTTTAAGGACATACTCTTTTGGATAAGTTTTTAGAATTTTCTTTAACATTTAACGTGATTTATTTGTCTAAGCTTGCAAGGTCTTACGTCTTAAGAGCATACCAGTTAGCTCCGAATAAAGCGACGAAAGTTATTTCCGAGCAGAATCATTTCATATGCTTATAAAACTAGTCTAGCAATATCAAAATTCATAAATTCTGTAAGGACCCATATAAAATAAATAAATAGTAATAGAAGCACATATACTGCGCCATATATCCACAGGGCTCATAAGCGCATTACAATTGAAATTATCAAGTCTAATTTAGTCCTATATTTAGGCTCAATTAATGTTCCTTTAATATCATAATGTAATTTTTTAACTGGGACGTCCCCACAAAGCAAGCTGATTGCATTTACTGAAATAAAAACGTTTGCTTGATTGATGTCATGCTCATTTGTTAGACAGAGGTACTGCCATCGAAATAGATGGACGTGAAATCACTCTTATTAAAGTGATGTAGCGAAGGAGGGAGGCCTTGAGCTGCTTATTCTGAGCGCCAAGGAACGAAGCGTAAAGAAATACGATGTGATGTCGTTTAAAGAATAGGGGATAGGACACCAAAGCTTAAGTCGTTTATTATAGTGGGTAATTTTAGGGCGAGGTTGGAGGCTTGTAGCAAAACCCAGACAAGAGAGGGCGCGATCTACGCGGAACTTAACTTAACAGAATTGATCTACGCTCTTTACGATAACGAAAATTGTACTACGGGGCACTAGGTAACACAGGGTAACTTGTTCATGCTGCTAAACACAAGATAAAAAAGCTAAATTTCTGAAGGAATGAAAATTAAAAAAAGGAAACTGTCTGAAGGAATGCAAAAGGTATCGTCATCGATGGTAACGTATTGAAAGACAAAATTTTCTTTACAATTTCCAGGAAAACAGTTTATTTGACCTGGCATTAATGCAGTAGGAAATGCGAGGCTGAAGAATTCATAAATCACCTTGATTATCCAGTTTCCAGCATCGGATGGTGGAGGGGCAAGTGGTCTTGGCGACTCTCCCTAAAGAAATCCGAAAACAAAGTCAATGACTGGCCTACCTTGCTACTGCACCTCTGGTTATTAAATTCCAAAGACCAGAATACAAAACTGGCGTAAAATGACGTGCGCTCCACCACATTAGAAGATAACAATAAAACATAAAAACCAAATATAATTGGTACTTGGATTTTATGGCCAAGCAATGAAGCACGTGATAAAGAAAAAAACAAAATGGCAGACATTTGGAGGGATACGAGAGGAATATCACTAAAGATCTTGACATTTATCTTTCAAATTATTTCTGCATAGGAAAGATGGGCGATCCAAAAATAACAAGCCATTGAGGCATTATATTATTCGTTGAGGTTTAATATTAACTTTTTTAGGTGCAAAGGCTGCATCTGATTATGTTGTTTGTTTATACCGTTGGATAGATCGCATTTTGATCGTTATCCTGCACTCATATTTGATCATAGGCTTGATCTATATCAAAGGCAGTCTGTCCCTTCCGTGATTGGCTAATTCTAACTTGAAAGCCTTGCCTTAAAAGAGGCTCTTCCTCTGCCCTTCTAGTATCCGACATTAGCTATTGTGGGTGAACACGACCTAATCTTTATGTCATCGAAATTGACCTAGACGTTTGATAGTTGATACAAAAACAAAATTCACAGCACCTCGCTCAGGACAAGTAGGCTATTGTGGTTCTTCATTCTGATTGGTTATTTGTGCATCAAACCAACGATGTATGAATATCGTGGCTACTGAAGAAGATGCTGAGAATAACAGGGGACATACTGCCTTTAAGAGTCTTACTCGCTGCAAATGCACACTTAACCAATGCATGAAATTTTAAATGATGCAACAAAAAGTTTATTTGCTTGGGAGGAATAATTTTTTCATCCAATTGCTCCTTATGCAAACTAGACACTGGGAGTCACACAGCACTTACTGATTTACAAAAAAGGTCACTGCAAATATACTAACCAGCTTAGGTGCAGGACAGTTCAGAGTAAGGTTTGCAGTATTCAATTCCTTAGAAGACTGAGCCAGGGCAATTAATTTCAATGCTACAAAAAACCCCTAAAAAGAAGACATTGATTTTATCAACAAAGATGGTATAGAATAAGCAGTCATACAAATTCAGTAAATATCCAAATTTACAAGCAGCCATGAACAATTTGTGTTGTTATTTATTTCAAGGAAGTATAATAACCTGTAGGCAGAAATCTAAATGAATAGAAAAATTTATAATCCTACATAAATATTTATAGAATGAGAAATATTACCTGGTTAGTTTGAGAATAAACCCATCAGTTCAAAATTCCAATATACTTATCAAATTGAATAAATGTAATAAAGATTTTATAATTTTAATGTAGCTTTTAAATAGAAAAATTTATCATCCTACATAAATATTTATAAAATGAGAAATATTACCTGGTTAGTCTGAAAATAAACCCATCAGTTCAAAATTCCAATATACTCATCAAATTGAATAAATGTAATAAAGATTTTATAATTTTAATGTAGCTTTTTTACATCACGTAGATGTATTTAAACATTTGCTTGTGTTTCTTATTGTTTGAATGAATAAAATCGGAGGTGAAATTTGACATATCTCTGAACAAAGCTTGTAAAAAGGCTCATAATTTGACATATCATAACTTCCTCTGCCCTCTTTTGAATGATTTTATTAATCACAGTTTTTCGCTTCAATCTCATTTTTTATACTTACCTTCAAATGAAAATAAACAATTAGCTGTGACAATTTACCTGCTTATCTAAGTAACCTCTTGAGTTCATATCAGCAAGTTCCCATATCTAAAATTTAGAAATATGATGCTCATGGGGAATAAAAGAAAGGAGAAAGGTGAGTCATGTCTATTATTTGTATGTCGGGGAAGTTACCTAGAGAGGCAACTTTTCTTGGGCAAACAGTAAGACAAGGTATGTATCCAAAACAACAAAATTAAAATACTTACTTCTATGGATTGAAAATAAAAATATATGAACTGTAAAATATTATAAAGTTTTGTACTTGAGACAGGCAGGAACTATTCTTATCCTTTATAATAAATAAATTAAAATAATTAAAGTTTATAATAAATAGTACAATAGTTTAAAAAAATTCTACTATTCGTTATTCAAAAAATTGTCTTTAAATGCAACAATATGAAACTATAAGATTAAGCCCTAAGGATAAGCATTAAACATATTTCATATAAAATATATGCTAAACAGAAAATACTGATTTTGATTCTTTAATCCTTAGAGACTAGCTTTGTTCAAATTTGCTAACCACAGTTTTTTTAGTTTAATTAAAAAACTCCACTTAGAACTTGGCAGTGCAAAGTTCAAGCCTCTCTGTCTTTGAAAACTAGCATTTCAATTTTTTGCAGGAAAATGGACATAAGACTTGAAAAAAGAAAATCAACAAAACATCACCACTTACATCATGCAGAACTCCTTCACTAAGGCCACTTCTTTTTAAAAGAAAAGCTGCTTCATTTGCACCTAGAGTTGCAGTACCTGAAGGATTTGCCTGCAATTCAAACCACAGAATATCACTATAATTATCCTGAACAAATAAAACAATCAAAAGTTGTAGAGTCATCTATATATCAGCCCCATTAAATAATCTGGTGTGTTCAGATGAAGAAGAAGGTAATTTAGAAGGAAAAAGAAATGTTGTGGTTCACAAGCAGGCCAAATCTTATTAGGTGTTCAGTCATTTGCTTTTGTAACCTGAAGATTTACCGATGTCAGCAAGATTTTGCCACCATACACTGGCATGTCTAACAATCGAATCAAACAATCAAACTATTTCCTTTGTTCAGTTTATGCAATAAAAAGTGCCACATCAATGAGTACTCCAAAGCTTGTGTGATTCACAAGTGTGAACATTCAAACTTGAAAAGCATTGTGTTCGATTTGTTACTCATAACGTGTCAAAACATCGCACTACAATGAGATTACAAGATTGGAAACACATTGCATTTCACAATGTTAAACTCTTGCATAGAGTACCGAAATGCATATTACATAGGATTAAAGGATACGAGTCTAAATGTTGAATCTCCTTAAACATTATGAGGAAGCATTTGTACTCTTTCTCCCTTGGAAAAAACAGGTACATCTATTTGCTTGTGCACATGGGGTATTAAGTATCAGATTAAACCACATCCATGTCCAGCAATCAATGGATGAAAAATAGTTTTATGACATCTTTACTCACTCTACATAAAAGATTGAATAAAGAAGCAAAAATTTGAACCACTTGATTAACACTTTTCGACAAAATCAAGGATCAATCCATCAAGGGATCAAATTCAAAAATTCATTCAACAATTTGGCTGTGATCCAATAGTTTTGGTTTTATTGATCTTGGTTCAGACTTCATTCACACCTGTGCAGTTGGATATCTTTTTTATTTGTTTCTTTGAAATATTCCAAAAAGTCAAAACCACCTGAGCTATAAATGCTTCAAGATTATAGCTTGTACTTTTTTGATAATTAGAAAAAAACAATTAATATAAGCTGAGCATTTATTAGTAACTAACTAAGATCTATTCCAATACTAACCTGCTTATAATAAGCCTCATACACATTATAATTATGTCCAGCAATCTGAAAGAAATAATGAAATTGATTAGTATCAATGATATAAAACAAAACATTTAAAAATACTTTCCAACAGCAACATGTTCAGGAAGTGACTTCTATCATAATTTTTAATTTATAAGCCTTTACTTGAGATCTCAGATGTCACCCTGGATCATGTTGAAATGTTAATTGTTGGATGTCTATTGGGGCTAAAGAATTCCCTTTCAGAGCTAGAGGTGTCAATTTTTAATCTTAATATTTGCTCAAAATGGATCAAAGTGTAAGATTCCCAGTGTTGATGTAAGTTTGTGCTACAAAAGTCAAGTTGTTTGGCCAGTTAAGCTGCAAATAATATGAAATTCACTTGAAATTTCTACTACAGTGAAAACATTTGAACCCAAATTCAAAAGTGGTGGCCCATTTTTAACAAAGGTCTATAGATAGAGAGATACAAAAAAATAATGCCTTCAATTCAAATTTTTTTTGGCAATTTGACAAAACTGGCTTAATTTGCAACTGCTTGGCCAAGATGGAACTTGTCTGGCCATAACAAAAAATCTGGCTAGTTTTGGCCAAATTTCGAAATTCTTAACTTTCAAATTTGTTTTTATTAAGTCTTTAAAAAGAAGTTTTTATTTGATAAATTGATAAATTAGGTTTGTCGGGTCTTTTAATAGTCGTACAATAAAAACAAGACCCTAAGAGCCATGACCCTTAATTTCTAATAACTAAAAGGACTCTTAACATTAGAATTTACACCTCCATAAAATAATAGTTGTGCATAGTCAGCATCGCAAACATCTCAATATGACCAGTTTACAACCTTTCCGACATTCTTCTGCTTTGTTTTTGGAAGCAATAATCTTTTATGGAGGAGAGGTGCCTTCAAAGAAATTAAATCACTGCACCCTCAGACTAGAAAGTCTTCTCGACTAAAAACAAATTTTGCCCAGAGATTGTTCTCAACCAGACCATACTATTGTTCTATAGCCATCTATTGTCAATATTCTATTGTTCAATTGTATTGATATCAGTTTGGCCAAAGTTTGAAGTTGATTTGGCTAGATGGTCTGGGAATGATATACCAACCCTGGACAGGTTTCACCTTTGTATACAAGCTTTGCAATATCACCAAACCAAAACTAATCAGTTTAGCATTTAATGAGAATGCATACATAAAATTCTATGCAGTACAAAAAGGTAAATTCCTAGTCGGTTTGCAAACGAAACCAACTTCATTAAGGGATTAAAAGGGATTCGAATTTCTGTACTTTTGTGTGACTTTAGCAAGAAACACAACATTACAAATGGGCATTTGACACGGAAATAGCTGCAAAGTCAAATAAACAATAAAATGTAGAGAATCATTGAAAGCTAAGTTTACCACTATAGCTAATAGCATAACCGTAGTAACAACAACAAAAATTTCTTTTATAACTGTGGTTTTACTAGGTATTGGCCTAAATAAGCAAAAAACAACAAGGAAGAGGCAGTTTATAATTGGTAAAAAGAAAGTCAAGAAAAAAAAATCAGAATGTAGATTTGAATCTTCAAGGAATATTCGCAGAAGAGAAATGAAAACCCTTCGTTAATGACTTGTGAGAAAAGCAGCGATCTTCTGCACAGAGAAGGCCTAAAGCAAGAGATAACCTGGAAAGGCGGTCGTGCAAAAAATGAGCACCAAACACACATCGATGTCTTACCTGATTAATTGGTGGAAACCCCGACATTTCAGCAGTAGTAAACAAATCGATCCAGTGCTAAGGAGGGCTTGCTTTTGTATTCTTACATCTACATGAGCACGGTACGCTGAAATAGTCTTTTCTCAAACTATAGCCACTACTGTGGTTTAGGCCGTCGATCTCAGCCGGACCATCTGGCTTTGAAAATGACCGGACCGGGCTTGTGTATAGCTTTACTTTTCCGGAGTTTGATTTCTCTGGTTGGAAGATTCAAAGATAAGAAGATCTAATAAACCATTCTGAAAATATGCTATCAATGCTAGGCCAGATTGCCGTCATTATTTATATTTTGTTAGACAGAGCTCGTTACTGTATTCATGATAATTGCTTCGTAAATCTTGCTGATCAAATACAGTAAAAACCCACGTGAAAGAACCTACTTTTTCAGAGTCTGGCAAAACAGGTTCTTGTATTGTGGGAAACTTTTTGACAGTTCAGGCTAACTGGGTTATTAATTAGGGTCTTAACTTCTATAGCGTATACATTGTCGTTGATTGTCAGAAAATAGCATTATATCTGGCCTGTTCCTCATTTAAATATTTGATATTAACCAATGTTGCCAAAAGTCTACCAAACAATGATCAATGATACAGAACTGTATATAACATAGTAGCAATAATTGTTTCATATTAACAGTTCAAATTTAACATACATTGTACATTCTTTGTTCTATTTTAAGAAATCAATTTTCTGTCATCTTTTTGGTTTTTGGCAAAAAAGTAGGTAAATTTAATGGTTATACCCCACATATGAGAACTTTTTGGAAATTGTTTGGCTAAACAGGATTTCATATTTTGGATTATTAAAAAAGCAAATTTTTGCCAAAAGTTTCTTAAATCCCTAGGTCCTTACACGCGGGTTTTAACTGTATGCAGGAAATTTTTCGTCGGGTCGAAGGCTTCAACTTTTGCTGCAAACTCCTTGTCAGACACACGGTAGGGAGCCTGATTTAATAAGCAAAATATTCAATGCCTTCAATTAATATCTTAAATATATTTTAGTTCATTGTAAAATAACGTTTTTTTTTAAACCAAGGTTCTTCAATAGTGAAAGTATAAGAAAGTATAAATTAGCAACAACCAACGATTACAACATAACGACTTCTTTCAACGACAACTTCGACTCGACTGGACTTGCACTCAAAGAACATACGCTTTCAACAACATGAGTGACGCACACAAAACCCTAATGACACAAATTAACGGCAAATGGACTAATAACAACTAAAATAGAGATGGCACGATGACAAACAAAATGGACCGACGCGAACATCGAAAGACATCCTCATTAACGATAACGAACCACAAACACGATGCACGACAGACAAAACAAGTTGTATAACATTACTCCCCCCTTTGAAAGACAAGCCTCCTGGCTTGATCTCTCGAAGGGGAAGAAACATAAAAGTATTATAAGGCAGCACGAAGAATCAAATCAAATAATTTTACTGAAATGAGTAAATCAAGTACCATCTAAGAAATAATGTCCCTGTCCAAGTTTATTCCGTCCATACGGTTCTCTACCCGAGGCTATAACAACATTATGTACACGTAAAGGTCCTTCTCTTCTTTTAGTGTCAATCAAATTTTTTTCATATGTTGTGGCTAATAAACCCTCGTCAACTTCCATTGGTTTTGAAGAAGGCAGTCGCGTCACCATTGGTCGTGATAGTTTATGTGACTCCAATTCATTGACAATCTCCTCCAATTTCTTAACTCGAGTTTGAAGATCTTGAAAGTGTGGCTCATTTCTTTTGATGTTGCCAATAAAGGTAACCCGAGGTCGCTCTTCAGCTACCGAGGCAACAATCACAGGTTCATTTTGATCACACTTCTCCTGGGATGCTAAAGAAAATTTCCTGTCTCTACAATATTTGGCAACGTGACCAACGCGCAAACAACAATAGCAAATGGGCTGGCCATCTTCAGCACGATAGACATTAGTTCGATTCACGAAGAAATTTCTCCCATTCTCCTCTGCCAACCTCACCCTTTCGGCCATGTGAGATACAACGGTCTTTATAATATCCAACAGAATTTCTCTGAATTGTTCTGTTGAAATCATTTCCATTTTTTTCTGCGAATTGGTCACGTCGTGGTCACCAATGTAAAATAACGTTTTTTTTTAAACCAAGGTTCTTCAATAGTGAAAGTATAAGAAAGTATAAATTAGCAACAACCAACGATTACAACATAACGACTTCTTTCAACGACAACTTCGACTCGACTGGACTTGCACTCAAAGAACATACGCTTTCAACAACATGAGTGACGCACACAAAACCCTAATGACACAAATTAACGGCAAATGGACTAATAACAACTAAAATAGAGATGGCACGATGACAAACAAAATGGACCGACGCGAACATCGAAAGACATCCTCATTAACGATAACGAACCACAAACACGATGCACGACAGACAAAACAAGTTGTATAACATCATTCTCATTATCTCATTCTAGGTTTTTCAATATTGTTTGTTTCCGGCCTCGAAGTCCTGTCCAAACCAAAGAGCAACAAAAATGATCGCCAACCTCCATCACAAAAATATAGATCGTTTAGCAAATATATATATCTCACCCAAAGTATGCCTATATATATATCAACCAATTATTTATACACGTAAATCACAAAGGCTTAATATTTCGCCCTCGGCATACGGGCTTTCATCAGTGCGCATAAGTTAACGGCCTTAAAAATTTACACATTTAAAAGAAGCGATGGTGGTGTCGGATTGGCTGATGTGGAATGGTGTGAATACAGCGCAGTGGTAGAGGAGAGAAGGGTGGCGAATGAGAGGGTGGGTGGTGGAATGAAAACGTAATGGGGATAAAGTACTATAATATGAAATAATGATAATGTTGCTGTAAGGTTAAGGGTCAGTGGTTCTGTTCATGCTGTTCGGCGTGAGAGTGTTTGCCAGGCCAATGAGGTATTGCTCTTTGGCTCGTCGGACACTCTCTCGTTTGTCGTCGAGTTTCAGTAATGGTGTTACAGTAAGGTCATTGATGGTATGTTCTGGGCTACAAAAGTGTTCTGCAACACCAGATTTATCCACTTTTTTGTTGATAATGTCTCGTCTGTGTTCTTTTTTGTCTCGTCTGTGTTCTCGTCTGTGTACTTTTTTGTTCTGCAACACCAGTTATCGTTGATGTTATCTTCTAAGATTTTTCAGAATATGCTCAAACAGGTTATTTTTCTAACTTTCGAACTGCCAGGACATTTTGGCTAGTGTCAGTAGAAAGAGGAAAACATTATTAGTGCCCGGGAGTGAAGATCAAAAGGAGAAAGAAAGGGTTCCTGGCAAAAAAGTTTCAAAAATAGCAGCAGAAAAGAAAAGAGTTGCTTTTATGTTCGAGCAAGGGAAACGCAGCTTCTTGGAGCCCCTTTAACTATTTACTGCTTGCTTTTGTCTTTTTGGTATAAGCTATAATGGGGACATGATATGCCAACTAAGTTAAAAACCAAACCAAACTAAGACTTTCAGAATTATGCTTTACTAAAACCAAATTCAATTGTAACGAGTAGAAAACAATCTCATCAAAACATCAAATTGTGAACCTCGATAAATGGCAAAGAAAAAAGCCTGTTTGACCAAAAACCAGTAGTTTTTGTTTCGGCCACAGAATAAAAGGTAATTCAGAGCTATAAAAATGTCATTACAAAAAATATTTATAGTCAGAAATTTGCCAAGAGTGATCCGCTTCGTTTATAGGATGTGTTTTTAGGCAGGACCTTGGCGAATCCAGCCGAAACTGGATATATTCAGCATTAAGTACACACATTTTCAGCAGAGAAAGTTTCGGACAACAAACTGTTTCAAAAATACTCAGGGCCGCCGGAGAAGGGGATGCAGGGGTTCAACCACCCCTATTGCCTTTTGATAGGAGGGGCAAGGGAGGCCAAAGTGCCCTTTTCACAGAAGTTCCCTTGACTTGACATCCCTTGTAATTATCAAAGATTCTTATGAAATTCTGACTGTATTGCCTTATTCGTGACGAAATTTCTCAAAACTTTTAAAGAAATTTCCAAAGTTATCTAGTGATACCTAAGATTTTCAAGATACCTGCAGAAGATCAAAACAAAATGACAGTTACGAAAGTATTGTTAGCAGCTGGGATTTATATTTCAAATGCCCGTTTACTCAAGCCTGTCCCTCTTGCCACTTGGTCATTCCGGCCTCCCTGAAAATACTTTTGGATACATTTTTTGCATTTTGGACAAATTTTGGCATTTTGACCAGTCTTTTGGATGTTTAAAGCAAAACCAAATCCGATTATTGTTTTTTTTATTGGACAGTTTGAGTAATTTTGACTTGGAAGTTAGTTAGTTAGTTAGTTAGTTAGTTAGTTAGTTAGTTAGTTAGTTAGTTAGTTAGTTAGTTAGTTAGTTAGTTAGTTAGTTAGTTAGTTAGTTAGTTAGTTAGTTAGTTAGTTAGTTAGTTAGTTAGTTAGTTAGTTAGTTAGTTAGTTAGTTAGTTAGTTAGTTAGTTAGTTAGTTAGTTAGTTGATTCGTGAGTAAATTTGCCAATTGGCCCAAACTTACAAAATAATAGCCCTTCTAAAGCCGATCCCTTTGAATCCTTTGAAAGGCCAATCAAGAGCCGGCGTAAAAGGGGCCTATAAGGTTGTTTTTGTTTTATTTGGTATCCTTTTGATCTCAATTTGAACATCAAACTTCATTCATTTTCGTCACTCCCTTCCGTCTCAAGCTCTTTATTTAGAAAGAAGCAAAAATTATATAAAAAAGTAGTTGATCCTCAAAATCAAAAGGTGATTGCATACATTAGAATAAAGTGCAACAGGAGGTTATCTTCTTTTCCTACTTATAACGCAATTCACACTTTTTACAAGGCCTATTGCAAGCTTTTAAACAAAAGATTAAACCAACAGCGTCTTTATATAACGGGTTTCGAAACCCCTGATTCATAACGTAAGTCATTGGGATCGGACTTTAGTTTCGATTCTTTAGCAGGAAGTACTATTTCTGAGCAATCCCAAGGAAATGATGCTAATTATAGATTTAAAAATCTTCTTGCGAGATGTTAAGAAATGAAGAAAGACTAGCCTGCGTGCAGATTTTGAGTCTGCACGCAGGCTAAGAAAGACCTCATGGAACAATCTTGTTGCTTCAATTTATCTCGTTAACAGCGAGTGCGGAGGTAATAACATCGAGCTCTAATCTATGCAGTTTGCTGGGAAGGGGCCTAAGTACTAGATCAGGTTGTTAGCGTGAAGCGCAAAAACAAGCATGAAGTTGAATCACAGATTAGAGATAAGATGAAGTGATGAAATATCCAAAAAGGCGAAAAGTTTTTACTGTTACAGTATACTCACTGGCGTAGCTTGAAATCGGAGGGTAGGGGGTGGAGGGTCATCAATAGTACAATTTCCCGACGAAGACAATCATGACAAATTTAGTTGCTATATCTTTAGGTGAATTTACCTGCAAACTAAGGATTTTCTAAACCAATCGAAGATTTACCGACCAATTTATGAAGTATTTAGGGGGCACACCCACTCTACCCCCACGCTAGCTGCGCCCCTTATTACAGTCTTTTCTAGTTTGATGAGTTGGGGCGGAATAAAAACGTTGCGCATTTGAGAAACTGCCTTTCAATAAAAAAACTCTAGAAATTAGTTTTATTGAATCTTTAAATGGCCTAGAGCTACTTCGTACAGAAAACCCATTACACTGAATAGTTTTCTTAATCTTCTATATATAAGTAAAACTTGGATGTAGCACCCAACAACACAAATGCTTATTTGTGTTGTTATTATGTTTACTTTCAAGTTACTGAAGTTGACATGCTCTCACATTTTCCTGTCATTATGCGATTACCTTACTTTTCAATTTTTAAATAATAATAATAATAGTTTAATGTGATACTCATTGCATAATAGATAAAATTGTTCAAAGTGGCCGAATAAATCTAACAGCGGCGTAGAAGTTTACTAATGCCAACTATCTGCGATGTTGAAAAAATTGAGATTGTAAGTTTCAATTCAACAAAGTAGGCAGAGGATCATTGGGCATGCATACCCATAGGTCCTGTTTACACGAGCCCGCGTTTACTATTACCATCTTACAGGGTCAACTCGTCTACGGACAAATCTCTTCAAACGTTTACATGATAATAGAGCCAACCCGGGTCAACCTATCTTGCCGGGTAACCCTTATCGTTCCTCATTTAAAGTCGGTTCAGTTATACTCTGGGTCATATGAACTCTTCGAAGTAGCCAAATTAGGGTTACTTTTACACTTGAGCTAACGTTAGACTGACTCAGATGAGGTCAACCCTCTAAAGGAACAATATTACCCGGGCTCGGGTAAACATGAATTTTTTTTCTGGAGCGTGTTGACCTGACCAGGAGTGGAGTTTAGCCCGGGCTCGTGTAAACGGTGCTTTACAATTCGAGAGAATTGAGAAAATATATTCACCTCAAACAGGCACAAAGTTTGTGAAAGCTTCTGTGGACAATGCCCCTGGACCTAAAAGTAAATGAATACGATTGCCTGTTGCCTCAATGATCATTTAGAAGTACAGAGTTCAGAGATTTCGATAAGACTTCAGAGTTTTTATCAAAATTCCATGGTGCATTCGTTGAAACTATAAATCCTTACAAAACTAGACAAGCGATGAGATGAGATTCATGATAAATAATTTACTGTGCGAGCATATGGAAATTGTAGACAGTGGCGTCGCCAGCTCAAAAAAAACCGGGGTGGACAAAAACAAATTTTTTCGCCCACGCCCTTCAGACTCCTTTTTTCAGAATTTTTCATCTTTTTTGAAATATTTGGACAAGCAACTTTCTCAAGCAGCAATTTTCGTAACGGTGGCTTTTTGCCAGTGCGAAAATCGAAATCGATCTTATCAGCCAAGCTCCTACCCCCCCCCCCAAAGGTTTCTTAATGGATTTTGAGAAATTTGAAAATCGTCCACCCCAGTCCACCCCGAGGAAACGCCATTAATTGTAGAAACCTTGGCTCTCCTACAATAAAATTTATTGTTTTGGGGCTCTATAGCTCAACCAAATGCTTTCAATCTACGGGTAAGCGAAATCTGTCATCGTTTTCCAATTGTAGATAAAGTAATGTCCCTATTCATGTATTTTCGAAGATTTTCGGGTGTCTAAAAATCATGATTTACAATAGATTTCTAGAACATGCTCTCCTAAGTCAAATTAGGGTCCGATGGAACCAGATTTCACCCCGCAGAGGAGAAGGCCAGTGGGTCTTGGAGCTTCAGCGTAAATAATCAAGAATGGACCATCAGTGAAGCCTATTTCCTTGGGGCCCTCGCAAAAAAACAAAATCAAAAATTAGAAACAGGCTATTTGTTGGCATCAACAAGGAGCCTCCGGATCTCTCAGGCCCCAGTCATGCAACCCTGCTTAAATTTAGAAGTCCTGCATAGAAGTCCTCTCTGGAACCTCTGGCATTCCTTGCCCATAAAATTAAAATTCAAAGGTGGCAGGGAATTTTTCTGGACAGAAAAGAAGGGCAGGAACATAGCCAATGGGATCAAACAGCCAAACATCTTTTCACAATATTTTTTGGTTCGAGAATGATTCAAAGCAAGTGTTTCGATATGCAATTAACATCATCTTGCTAGTCATCAAATCCAGGTGGGCAAGAGCAGCGGGACACCAGTTACTCTAGTGTCTCTAATAGAAGGGGGTGCTAATAGAAGAGGTGTTTTCATGTCGACCAGTTTCCAATAGAAGATTGGTGCTAATAGAAGGGGGATGTTCATGTCGGCCAGTTTTCAATAGAAGGGGGGTTGCTAATTAGAGGGTGTTCAGGTTGGCCAATTTTCAATAAAATGTCAGTAAATTTCGATAGGAAAGGGGAGCTAATAGAAGGAGTGGATGTTGGTAAATCCTTTAATTAAAAGACAATGGAATTAGTAGGATGGTGACACTGGTGACTTGATAATGGATAGATGGTTAGAGATAAAGATAGACAAACATAACAAGGGGAATTATGACAGTTAAAAAATAACTACATAACATAACAAGGGGAATTGACAAGTGAAAATTGCGTGCTCTGGTCATGACAGAGTTGTAAAATTTAAAAAAAGGGGGTGCTAATAACTGACGGGGAGGGCAAATTCTTCTGAAATAAATACACAGGGGGCCCGTCTATTAGAGACACTAGGGTAGTGCACTGATCTCAAAAAAAGACATTTTTGAGATCAGTGGGGTAGTGACATTACCCCTAAAGTGCAATTTGTTGTTGATGTTGACCCCTCGTCGAAACGAGGCAGAATTAGGCCTTCAAACTTATGCAAGCAAAGTAAAACAGTGCAGTGCGTCGAAATTCTGTAATATTTTGGATATAAAAGCAATGAAAACGTTATAAACTGTGGATGAAAATATAAGCCGATATGGGAAATAGGATTGAGCTTTTCAGGGTAAACATGAAATTCTATTTTTCAACTCTTATTATATTACAATTTCTTGGAGACTGCAGTATATGGAGATTTTCACCACCACAAAATCCACTTTTTCAGCGAATAAATACGATGTCTTTCGAATAAAATTTTTTAGAATTATTAATTCATGTTAATGACAATGGCAATGTATTGATGCAGAAGGCTGATTTGATGTTTTTTTTGTTGAGCAACAGCACTGTTTTTTATTCATTTGCCTTTTTTTAGGTTGGATTATATGTTCTCTTCCCTGTTGCCATATTTTACTACTTTAATTTACCAGAAAATCAAGATGACTATCTTGAGAAACGGAAGGTATGTGTTTTCATTTTCCTTAATTAGGGCTTAACTCAAGGTCATGAAATTAGATACTCAAAATAAGTGAGAGTGCAATGCGCCTTTCTCGCACCAACCCTCAGCTGTAGTTCCGAGAGCAGACATAAATAATGCTAAAAATATTAATAAATAAACCTATGGGTGCCATGATATTGGTACAGTAAGTGCCATGATATTGGACTCAGGTCTACCTTTTGGACTCAGACCACAAGGAGGGGGCAGTGGGGGTAAATTGCCCATATTGTTGCAGTGTCTGTGCAGTCTTAGAGCTTCAATTATCTTCAACAGTGCTCAGAAATTCTGATTCAGTAGGAAGCAGTCTATCTGGTATTTGTTTGTACCCCAGGTGTCATCTAGCCTTATCTTTGGTTGTTCAAACAATGTGTTGGCAATTCCTTTTTTGATGCTGTTGCAGTGGGTTTATCAGTTCATCTCCTCTTTCACATTTGTGCTAGGCCACATTTCACAATTATGCTTATATAATATGTTTTTTCAAAGAATTGAGTTATTGTACCTCAAAGTTGCAACTTGTTGTTGTCACTGTATCACAGATTTTGTATCTTTAAAACTTGCTAGCAAACTGATGAATATCTTTTCTTAGTTTATTCTCTGTTAGTAGGTTATTTTTATAATTATCTAACTATTTTTTTCTCCTCGTACAGAGAGAAATTTATCCACCATTTGAAGAAACAAATGTAAGGAAGTTTTGACATTCATTCTTCCAATCAAAGATTGACTGTAAAAATTAAGAAAAAATTGAATATGAATTTTTTTATGATAAGCAACCCTATTTTCTATTCAATGTTTAGAATGTTAAATGTTAAAGAAGAGTTGCCCTTCAGCAGTGCTGATTTTTAAACAGTCCTTCATTTGAATTAATTCAAAATTGATTAACAACTTATAAGAAATAAATTACTTTTATCAAAATTTGCAATATTGACTAAATGACTACAACCAAAAATACACTAAAACACTAAGTATCAATTTTCATACTATTTATTGCCTTTGTTTGTTTATGTAGGTCATTGAATAGTTATTTTAAACACTGTCAATGAATTTTTATTTTTTTGATTTCAATGTCTCGTAGGTACCACCAAAAACATCAGAAGAAAGAAAAAAGTACAGAGAATTAACGCTTAATGAACGTCCAAGTTTTAGAGCCAATAACTTATCTGATAAGTGATTTAGGATTTTTTAGTGTGTGTATGTCAGATTCTGACTCTGTGTGGACACTTTAGTTTTATTGTTTCATACTTAATGAACATTTTTCAAAAATAATTGAGCAGTGTAACAATTTAGTAGCAAAGCTGAAAAGTTTGGCAAATTTCATATACTTTTCTAAGAGAAAAACTGGAAAAAATGTGTATCTTGCTCCTTCAGTTTATTTTTAAATATGATCTATTACCTAATGGATTTATCAGATCCAAATTATGCATTAAGAAGAAATTTATTAAAAATGTTTGTTGTGTTTTGTTAAATGTTTGTTGCAACAATTGTTTACATGTTGTTAAGCTCAAATTAAAAGTAAACAACTCTTACTATTCACAGCAAACTCTTTATTCGTATTTTTCATTTTTCAGTTACCGGCTGTTATATTTCTGTAGAATACTGTCATGAGAATCTTTGGGCTGCACATTTTTTGTAAAATCTCCTAGAATTGACTGAACTTATTCTTGTAGCTTCTGCAGAGAATCGATTGCCATTAGTGATTTTAAAATCATTTTTTGATTTTTTAACATCCATGATAATATTTATCCTCATAATTTATGTTATTCATCTCAGTACAATAACTGCAATTATTGGTACTGATGATTGAAATTTTCTCCATTTGAATGAAAATATTCTCTATCACAATCTTTGACTGGCCAACGTTTGATCTCAATTCAAAATTAAATCTCTATAACAAGCATGAGCACCATTCAGCCTTGAGGAATAAACGCAACAAGCGTATTTTTTGAAATCATTGAAAAATAAATCTGAGTGATGCCTTTGCAATAACAGCCCAAAATAATTTGCAGGCAATTATTAACGACAATTTAGTCACATTTAAGACAATAAAGTTCATGTCACATCAACAATTTCATTTCATTGCGCTCTTCTCGTTGTATTTTTGTGATGTGTTAGTTACCGCGAATGACTGTCAGTGGTTTGGGTAAAACGTTCTAAAATGACATATCACCCAGGGGTGGACAATTGCAGTAAAAAGGCGGTCCCCCAGTAGCTCTTTCTGTGATTTCCAGCATATGACCTGTGGTCTCCCAAAAATGAACTCAGGCGACAGGGGTGGACATTTTCAGGAAAATTTGATCGCCCAGCAGATACCCAAATGAACAATCAGCGGTCCTCTCAGATAAAAACCGGTCGTTCTGGGTACGCGGAAGACCAAAGTGTCCACCCCTGATCGCCCTTGTTCTACATTATTGATTCATTACAGTAAAAAACTTTTCGAAAGCGACAGCTCTCTCATATTTAAAAAGAAATAAAAATTTCTATTGATTTCTTTCTAAACAAATTTGAAGCCAAGTATCATTTAATAAAAAACGCTCATGTGATATGTTGCCCCTTGCTTCAATAAACAAAGAAGCATCAAGGTCAAAGTTCTATTTCTAGACTGATTACCTGTCAATTCTTAGTTCCAACTGCAGAAGCAACAAGCATTCCTACTAAACTGACATTACATTTAAAGGAAAGAGTAATGTCGATGCCTGGAAGGCACCGATGACCAATCACCAACTGTGCATAATTGCCCTAACGTGCAGGGCCAAATCACTTCATGGTTACCTCATATACCTTTGGAAAGAATGCTATTGTTTTTAGGACAACCCCTAGAAATCCTCTTGTTTTGATGGAATCTCTTACGCTATTTGCAAGAGTGAATTGCCCCTTGCCCGACATCGTTATCTTTGTTTTGCAAGCCCCATGGCGCTAAACTAAAGAAAGTAGAAGTAGTGTTAAACTCATTTATTGACACTATTTCTGAATGTCGGAATAGAATTGGGGCATTAAAATATAAGAGCATGAAAGATGAAACATTTGGGTCTGACAGGAAAAGCTGGAATATTACCAGAAAAGTGCTTCCCTATTCTAGAAACAATTTCTTTAGGCTCTGTAGACCACCGCAGAGAACCAAGGCGAGGTTTGGGTATGGCAGTCAAGCCTCTTTTGCTTTAACTGGCCTTCTAGACGGGTGCTGACTATGCACATCCTTGTTTTCGCGGCCTTGGTTAAAGAACTCATAGTTTGACACTAATCAGACTGCTTAAAATCGTAAAAGTCCATGTTTGTAGGCACCAATTAATTCTTCATCTCATTTTATTTAATGCTGCTACTGGGTAGAGATCTTCCGTCGCCTATACAGAAGGCTTTGGTATCTGATGGCTGAATTTATTAATGGTGTGACTGGTATTGATAAAATGATGGAGAAAGAGTTACGGAAAGTGGCTAACAAGAACTCTTTCTCGTCAAGACAAGAGATTGCTTTAGACTTTGAATCAAGTTCCCGTGCATTTCTTGCATGAGCTTGGCTGCTTACTTCTTTCATGTCAAAATTTATGATTGAGATGTCTGTTTATGTGCAGCTGTTAAAGTTTGACTAAATGATGTTACATTGTCCAAGACATTGTCCGTATTGTTTAAGCAGGCATCAATTTTACTTTATAGCAAGTTAGCCAACGCTTAATTTATACGGAGTTATCTTTTTTGATTTGAGCCGACTGCAACACGTGTCAAAAGGTGTAAGAGTAGCAAAAACTGATACGAATCACAAAAGCTGGTTAAAGAGAACGTCTGGCCCATACTTTCAATTAAAATCGTATTTTATCTATGCAAGATTTATCAAACATTGATTCAAGTGACCTCATAAAACGCCTTCTTTTACCCTTATTTGTTAACGATTGTTTATAAAGCATTGAAATATCCCCTTTAAAAAGCGCAACATCTAATTTTTAAAAAGACGTTATCTATTATTCATAAGCTTCAGTTGTACATTTCGGCTAGCTTCTCTCTTCATGATTATTTCCCGCGCACGTGCTTGTAAAAGGAAAATTTTCTCCGGAATTTCTTTGACTTTCCCTGTTAAACAGCGAGAAACAGACGCTTCTCTCTACTAACAGACGAAGAGTTTGCTCAAAGCGTGGCTTCAATTAAGCGCTCAAGCGATAACGACCAGCGCTGTGTACAGGACACAAACAGTTTTTCTCTTCAGTATCTTGCAACTGCGACATTGATTGTATTATGTAGCAAGTGACCTAAGAAAACCGCGATTTTATTGTTGAAAAATTCAATGCTTTCCTACCGACAACTGTGTCTTTCCATGCTTTTTTAACATAAGCCAATAGCGAATGCTACTGAGTTCTAAAGCCAGTATTGCATGACCTCTTAAGTATCGTTTAAGCTCCTAACTTGACACAGTCACCAAACCTTTTTTTGCAAAAGAAATTCAATTGATAGAGACCCGCTATGCATTAATATGATTTTGACTCCATTCGAAATTTTGTTTGAAAGCACAATAAGCTTTATGCCAAGGATCATCAGGTCTGTTTTCTGCGATCGTCTCTAAGGTTTGGGATGAGGGTGTTTTTAAGATGGGTCCACGCGTATAAAGTAAAGCCGAATAAAACGAACTTGTGGAGACATACGCTGGAAACATAACCACTACAAAAGCGGGAAAGCATGGCACTCTCAGTTCCCAAAAAGGATAAGAAGTCTCCGTTTCGAGTTTCTTTTGTTGTAGCTCATTACTATCTTGGAGCGTTTCACATCCTAATTAAGAAATCATCAACATATCACCCCTTGAATCAGTTCATTTAAGCCTTCCTCCATTTATAGGCTTACTGTGTTATTGCTTGTGGAATCTGCATTAAATTCTTGTTGGATTTTTTGCAGTCAAAGACGTTAATTATATCAAATTTTTAATTTATACTTATTTATTTTGATTTCAACACTTTTGGTACTTTGTTTGTGTTTTCCCTAGCCTGCTATTTGCAGGTAGGTTTTTAGGAAACTTTGAAGCTTTGGTTATCATGCTGACTGGCTTCTTGCTCTCGATGTGAGTGCTACGTTCTTGATTTCGAATCGAAGAAATATGTGGAAACAAAAACGGCCTATACTCAGCCAATACAATCTTGAAACTTGAACACCACATAACAGCATGATTATATGTAACTTAACAAAGCAAAAGATTAAGCACGTGATAGATTTAACAGTAAGAACACCATGTGATTTTTATGCCTAGAATTACAGAGAGCTGGTTACTCTCTTCATTCTAAATGAATGTTTGGCCATGGCAGAGGCTTGAACCTCAGTCATTTCGATCTGTATTCCTTGATCCTAATAATTGAACCATTTTTATTATTACCAAGGGCAAGGAGCCACAATACAGGTTAGCTGTTGTTTCTACAGCATTGAATGAAATTTGGCCTTGGGCTGCATCCTCATGTCCATAGTAAAACGGAAGCCTCGTGTGCGGGTTAAATACTCTTGTGCGACCATCACGCTTTGCGACAAATATTAAAAAACCGGTCTAAAATCGTACTGCATGAAAATACAAAAAACAAACAATTTCTCAAGACAACTACCGCTAAGAATGCCGGTTGCGCAAGAGCCCTTAATCTCTCCTTTAGACAAATCTCTGAGTATCCTAAGGTATAGCACAATAGAACTGACACAATCAAACTATAACGCAATCAAACTGTAGTATGCTCTTTTTAGATAAGGAAAGAGCGCAAAAGGAGAAAATCCCAGCTATAGAGTTACATGCCCTATACCGGAATCAGTAGCCTCTCAGTATTACAGCGACAGTCTTGTGCAACTGAATTGTGGTATAAATTGAAGAATAGAAGAGTGACTGGTTATGCAACAAGTTTCGTTGAATAGAGCTGATAAAATACGAAAGTTAGTCAAGATTCACTGGATGGTAATCTTGAAAAAAGTACCTAAATGATCAATAAATTACCACAGTAATGCTGTACGTTGAATGTCCATCCTATCAAACATTTCAAAAATCAAAAGCCACATTCGTTTCTGATGGTAATATGATATAAGATGTGATATATCAAACACCTATCCCAAACTTTAACATTGAGACATATATGATAAGCTCGCTTTGGTGACAAACAAACAGCTGTATATGGGCCCTTCTTTGATCCTTCGCTTACTTTCAAGTTCCCCCTTATTGTTTTGCTCGATACAACCCTAACTGCGTAATACTGAGGTACGAATTGCATACAAGTTTAGGGTTTTTGACGAATTTTTTTCATTTTTATGAAAAAAGTTTGTCTTGTAAATGTTTCCCTATCGGTTTCTCTATTCTACTCCTTTGGTTAGATTCTGACTTTCTTATAGCTCAAAAATACACGTGTTATTGGGAACTGATCCGGTACTTTTTCTTCCTTCATTCTTTGTAGGTCGGCAGAAAACATGGTGAATGTATGAAACTCAATGCCTAACATGATTATAAAAAGTTTTCGATCGGAAGCACTTTGCGTCGTGGCTACGTCACTACTCTTATGTGCTTACTGAGCCGGTGACGCTGCGTCGAAGCTGCAACAGTGCAGAGTTGATGCGTAGATATCCGTACTTAACCGTTCTGTGCTTTAATCTTTGAATATCGCTTCCGCGATGGTCCGGATCCCTACACATGAGATCACATTATCAGCAGTGCTTCCGATTCGAACTTTTCGGGCGTTTAGAAAAACAAATCTATCAGAATTGTTTGGGAAA